ATCGGGGACCCTCTGTCAATCAGGGGCCTTATTGTCCTCTATTGTTCAGGGTCCTCAGTTGAATGCAGAAACAAACTCACGTCCACACAAATCCAGAGGCATCTTGGGGTTAGGGTTATCGGTGGCAAAATGAAAAGGGAATAGTCATCAGGAAATCATCACAAATCCAGCTCGTTATCCTAGTGGGGGAAAAAGGAGCATTTACCTTAACCTCAGGAGAACAAAGGCATGTCCACACTTCGTATGTGAAACAAGTGTGTGTTAACCTCCCCCACACACTCTTAAACCCCGCCCTTAACACCACCAACCGGCAGATCTACCATCGGTCAATATTTTTTTCCCATTCATTCGTTTTGGTTTATTTGAAAAATCACCATTGCAGCCCGAAGGTTGAACTGCGATAGGTGAAAATTAAGAACCGAACATTAAACTAAACACAATATCGTTAGAAAACTTTGAACTTACAATTCATAGTCTGAATATAAAATTTCACTGAATATGTCTAGAACTGATGATGCTTGGCTCGGTGTTTATTGATTTAAACAAATAACACAAATAATTGTGAATAAACAGTGCACATGAAACCTTCTCTCACACAAAGGAAGCCGTCTTCACTTTGTTTTTTGTTTTTTTTCTGTCTCTGTCGTGGCACGCGCAAGCAGAAATCGGGCCCAGAAACGGCAGCTCCGCGACCTGGTGAAGGAGTTCAGCCTGATGTGTCGGGGCCTGCACGGCACGGAGTACGCGGAGTATTGACTAAAGTGTGCAAACTGGATCAGGAACAGCGAATTCTCGGCCGCTGACATCCTCGGGCTTTGAGCAAGCGACAAGTAAGTTCGGATCGGAGGTGCAACTCCGACATGTCACACGCTGCCAAGACCCCGGGAAACTTCTGACTGCCGCAAGTGAGTGGACAACGTTTATCGCAGAGTGTCCTGCAAATTCATTGTTCGGCATTCTCACTTTTTACACCGAGTAAAAAAAAAGAACACATTTTTCTCGTCCATTTTTTTTAAGGAGGAGGCAGCCAATTTTCATTTTTACTTTTCACCGAATAGATTTGGGTCAAAATGGCGGATGGATCTTCTGGACACTTGCTTTATACAGCTGTTTTCATTGTAACCGGTCTTTAACTTGCACATACAGCTAGCAAAAAACCTGGAAGGCAAAAAGAAGCTGACAGGGACGAGAGACTGTATTTGTTTTTTACTCGGCCACACTCGTGAAATAACACTTCAACTTTGACTGTAACACCACATAGACTTTCATTCTCTGAGGCCTGGCGAGACACCAAAGAACACGAAATTGGACCATCTCACAAGGTCCCCTAGAGCCGTTAAAAATGGCTGTTGTCAGGCTTGATTCAGTTTGCACTTATCGTTAAGGTCGAGGAAAGTCCAAAATATTATTTTTCCTCTTTTGTAGTATTTGTGCTTGTCCTTTTTAACAAAGTTCTCTCGTCGCTCTTTTTAGTCTAAAGGTGTAAAGGGTGAAAAAAAACACCGAATAGATTTACCTTTCAATAATGGACTCTCCTTTTCACCCAGGTAAATTAAGAAGATACCACTTATCACAGTGGGTGTTTCGCAATGGGGATTATTTCTCTCTCATAACTTATTGCAATATCAGTTGTGTAAATATTTTTTTGCGTAAGTGACGAGAGATAAATGGTTGAAATCTCTGCAAACAGGAGCCTCTGGGGGAGTGTTTATCGCGCAAACAACGGAGTGATTTTTTTATGCCTAACTCAGCAGTTATGCGTTTTAATAACAGGATTTTTTTAAAACAGAGAATAGTCAGAGAATGCATAAATCATTGCTGCCACTGAATTTATAATTGATGGAGATGATTGCTTGGTGGCTTTTAATCACGCCAAATTTTCTATATTCGGCAAGTTTAGGAGCAGCAGTGTACCTGTTGCTGAACTTCAATTCAAATCCTTCACACAGCGCTAGCCAGCTCAGTCTGCCGCGAGTTTAAAAGGGGGATGTACTTAGCACATAGTGGTGTATCCAGGTCTTCGGTCGGTGGGCTGGGGATTGGAACCTGTGTTCTAAAATTAACAATCCAAATATGCTCATTGGTACAGTAATCCTCAACCTCCACCCCCTCGAAAGGTGGTCGTACTGTTCCTGAAATGCTGGCATTTCAACCCCTTCCCCAATAATAATATTTGCTACACGCCCTCTCCCCGTTCATTTTTTTTCTGAGTCCTCCTCCTGATTACGGCTGGTGGTTTCATAACTTCAAGCTTGAGGTTTTCAGCCAGGTAAAAGCGAAGTATGCCCTGTCTGTTCAGGTTTCAATTTTGTTTTGAAAAAAATATGGAACGAAATGTGGGACGATCACAGAGACAAGTTGCTTTAAACTTTAGCGGCACTGCCGTCTGCTAACCTCTCTATTATTATCGACTAAACCTTGCGTGAAAATTAGCGGGAAACAAATTGGCCGTTCTTTTGATTGAACCTGCCATCGAAGAGGGCATACGGTTATTCGACTGAAGAAAAACAGAGAGCAACCAACGACCTGCCGGCACTCGTCTCATTGAAGACGGGTTTAGGATCTGAAAATTCGTGTGAAGTCTCGAAAAATCTCTCTCTATTAGGGCATTTTCACGTACTTTACGCTGCCGTTCAACGGTGAAAGTGCCGTCACCAAGAATTGTGGCAAAAAAAGACTGGGACCAGAACATATCTAATCAATCCAAGTTTCATTGCTTCAAGGCCGGTTCGTACTTCGCGCGAAAACGAACACGAACGCGAATTTGTGACGTCAGGAGACCAAACATGCACGTCGCGAATTCGTAAAAGTTGAACACAAAACATGTCCACCCGAGCGAAATTTCGCTGCAAAATTTTCCGTGACGTCAAATTCGCTTCGCTGTCGCATTCGCCTGCCGTATGAACTGGCCTTTTGTGATGATCTGTGATTCATTTCGTTTTTTAACACCCCGTGTTTTGCTCAGCATTACCCTTTTCTAACTTGTCACAAACCGGTTCGTCATTTTTTAAAATTCATTTTAAGTCATCTTATCAACTCATTACCAAGCACTCAACCTTTACCATTTATCTTTGGATAGCACCGGGGTTTTTATGTAGGGAAGCAAGTATGAGCTCCCGTGTTCTTTATCTCTGTATTTTCATTAACTTGTTATGGGAAAAGCACTGTTAAATATCGCCAGGCATGTTATGCTGATTGATTAATGCTGATTAATTTCTTGTGAGATGCAACTTTACCGAGAACGGAAATACATGTATTTCAGTTACACGTGCTCTCTTCAGTTTAAGCCAGAATGTCATGAACCAGGCAGCAGGTTACAGCACTCACGAAGGCCGGTTCATACATCGTGCGAAAGCGAACACACGCGACTTTGTGACGTCCAATCAAATATTCGCGCTGCGAATTCGCCAAAGGCGAACACATTGCAACTCAAGCGACATTCGTTTGCAAGACTTTTTCCTGACGACGAGTTTGCTTCGCAGTCGCATTCGCCTGAAGGGGTGAAGCGGCCTTCGAGTCTTGAAAGTGCTGTATTTAGAACGCCTCCGCGGAAGGCATTACCCAGCGACATGCATCTTTTGGCGTACAACATCGCATGACGTGACTGACGGCCATGCAGTTTATGTGTACCAATGAAACTCGTTTAAAAAAATTAAAGTGCTAGTAGGCTTTTACGATTAAATTTTGCAGCTGTCACGTAAGTGTCTTATGTAATGAGAACGTGCGCTTGTATGTAGTATTTTTCTCAATGTGTATGGTTAACGCATATTCAAGTCAATGCTTACATAACGAAGATTTAAATAAATAATAACCATTAAAAAAAAGCAAATTACACCTCATAAATTGTCTAACATACCCAGATGCTGTAGGACTTTCGTAAAGTTACACGAAAATGACTTCCACCGAGAGTCAAATTGTCAAGTGAGACATCGAGAAGGTATCATGGAAGTTAGGGAAACTGCAAGTGAGATGTAATTTGTTTTCCTGTTTAAAGTAAGAATTCATGTACAATAAAAAGTCTCTCTTTTCAGAAAGACGTAATATATTGCAAGGTAGTTTTCATTGCTTATATAAAGTATTTATTTCAATAAAGACTGATGCATGATTGTAAATATTACCCAATGCCTTGTTGGCCTTCCTTTGTTGGTGTTTTTTGTCCGTGCCTTTGTTACTAATTCTCTGCACGCGCGTTAACGTTGTCAGTAGTCGACATTGCAACCCTCGTTCCAATACAGAACAGAAATCCTTATATGTACACTTGTTATCACTGTGGATTCCCATCGACTATACCAAAAGAAAAAAAAAAAGAAAAAAAACACACACAAAGAAACCTCTCATCTCCAGGTTGGCTTGCATGCTTGCTTGTGTGTTCGTAGAAAACTTACAAATATGCAAATTGGGGGACCAACTTCTGACCAATCTGAGCTCTCATGCGTGATCAACTTTAGTCTGGATTCTCCAACTCGCACCCAGAAGCACGAATAGCGCGTAACCGTACTTTCAAGTGCTGAAATATATCGACTTTGTACATAAGGTGTGGCCACAGGTACATAGGTTGCGTGCATGACCAAACCGCTGCCTGTTCTAAAGTACAGCAACCCGACCAAAATGACAGCATTTTTCGCGACCTAAACCTTTGTTTACCTCGCTACTTCACTTAACAATACATTGCCACTCCGCTTTGCTTCTATAAGCAAACACGGAGTTATGAAACTGAAAATATCGCATTGTTCAGCTGTACCTAGATCTAGGATTCGCCTGGAAACCTTTGGCTTCAAATTCGTGGGCTTCAAATAATACCTTTGTTGGACGTAGCAAGATTTTTGTCGACTGCACAGGCCAAAAAAGAGCCGAGCAAACACAGATGTATGAATGAATTGGTTTTGCGTCTGGTAACATGCTTCCTCGATGACCTCGAAAGCGCTTTTCGAATGGAGATTTGGAAACGCCAGTCTGCGCGACAGAAAAATCTAAGTCGTAGGCTGAAACTTGGCTCATCGTGGCTGAGATAATATTGCACCAATCACCGAAGGAGCTTATGATAATGCGCTCTAACAGGTGCAGCAGAAAGAAAATTCTCAGAATGTCGGATTATTTTCAAACTATATTACTTGCAGTGGGACTGTTTTTCCCCCTCTGGGATAATGTGTGTTCCTCGTCCAAGGCCCCACAAGTTCGCTGTCCCGGCCATGACAGTGACCTCTGTGACATTCGTGTGTGGGACATTTCGAGGATCGCTGCGAATCACCCACATTTCGATCAATGTGTCCGCGCTTCCTAAAAAGTCTTGGATATACAGCTTTTGATCACTGAAATGTTTGAAAGCCGATCGCAAAGTTCAATTTCCAATGAACTTATACGAGTAGATCACATTGCAAGTAAGCCTTTTTAAATTCATAATCCCTGAATCCATCGTATTCCATGTAATCTGCCGAATGAGATGGTGCCACATTATTACGGGTTCCATGCCTCTCTCTCTCTCTCTTTTTGGGGGAGGGGAGGTGTTGCTTGAACGTTTAATAAATCACATGTTCTAAATTATTCACCATTGTTAATGAAATTAATCTAAATGAACTTCTATTTCTCGCATGTTACCCGAATAAAAAGTTCACCTCTCTTTCAATTCAGTGTGGCCTACTCGTAAAGGTACAGCGTCTCCTGAAGTCAATTTCTCTGAGCATCTCGTTTCACTTCCTTCCTTGTGTAGCGCTTATGGTGCAACCTTGGAAGATTCAGACATATTGTCAGAAAAGACTAACAAAACCTCGGTCTCACGCAGGAAGTTGAGTGAGACAGACTGAAGCAAACAGGTCTGTGTCTAGCGAAATGCGTGGTAACTTGTTTGGGTGTGTAACTTCCGTGTGTGATGAAATGGAATTTCGCTTGACCGTGGAGATCGAATTTTATGATCCAATCGTGGTCATCCTTCCTGTTTTGAATTACGCAATGTGTATATGCAACAAGAGTATTCTAGAATGATCATGAAGGCTTACAGTTACTCTGAGCTTGCATTTCTTTTTAAGTTTTAAAAAATTCTCATCACGACAACGGGTTTTGTTTTATTCACAATTCGATTTAGATCGATATGAAAATGACGAACGTCCGTTTTGGGTCCAATGCAGTTTCCTGTTGACATAGTTCTCGTCGGAGAGAATAAATATTAAATATCTATCTACCTTGAGTTTTAAAATCCCTCTGTATTTATTTTGCTCTCCTCTTATTGTTTTACTAGTCCTCTGAGTCCCAATTTCGTGGAGAGAAAGTTTAGTGAACTCGCGTGAAACCACACAATTAAATTTGCCTGCGCATGTGTATAACACATTAATCCACACTATCTACTCTAGCCCTGACGTTCATGTCAAGGAGAGGATGTTATAATTGTTTGAAAGGATTCTAATAATGAAGCATGGCTTTTGTTCTTATTTTTTACTTTTATTTGGGGCTTTAAATCGACTTATTTTAGGTTTTATTCGGCCAGCGAGGGGAATTGTGTGTGCTAATTTTCATTGTAGTGTTTAAAAAAATTTGACAGACTTAAAGTTAAACACCAAAAAGATGCATCGTTTGTGAGTTCGCCCTGCCACACTTTTCGAGGTATATAAGAGATTGTGAATCGCTTAGTTTCACCTTGAAGAGCTTCCCAACCCCCAACCCCCCCAAAATACAGCAGAGATGTACCCCCTTATGCAGATAAACAATATTACCAAAAAAGCACACTATCAAGCCTTGTGCTAACCAAGATAGTTCGATGACACTGGGAAAACTTTGAAACCGCCTATTGCGTGTACGAAGGACATTCCTTGCTTGCGTTTGGAAGTGGTAAATCAATGAAGGACGTGATCCGAAATACAGTCCTGATGGACATACACAAAATACTTTATTCACAGAGTACACCATTTTCATGTGTGTCGTTTGAACAGTGGAGCCTTCTCTAGACACAGGTATGAATCACAATCATGGTCCCCGTTGTTAGCTCCCAACATATTGTGCTGTGCACTTAATACTACGCAGAACAATGAAAGACGATATTCACGTTACCGCCTAGTGCCCAAATATACGGAAGCCCGTTAGGGCCACTTGTCTTTCTCTTTCACGGCGGTGCGTTTCTCTTTCGTTGTTGCCAGTAACTCGCGGTCGCCACTTATTACCTCGCGGCCGCGACTTCTTTAACTCGCGGTAGCGACATATTTATGCGCCGTGTCACCGTGATGTCTTCGTTGTAATTGGATTAATTTCCCAAGTGTCTACAAGCTGAGAGCATGGCGCTAGATTAAAGGTCAAATAATGTTTGCTGGTCATTTATGAATGTATTTATGTATCACATATTACATACCAACAGCCTCTCCACATCTTAAAAATATCGGTTCATTTTCGGTGTGAATCTAGGAGGCTACTATATTTGCTTTCCTTGGTACAAAACAGTACAACATACCACGCGAGTTAATAAGTGGCGGCCGCGAGTTAAGTAAGGCGGCCGCAAGTTAAGTAAGTCGCGGCTGCGAGTTAATAAGTCGCGGCCGCGAGTTACTTGCAACAACAAAAGAGAAACACACCGCCGTGAAAGAGAAACGTACGGAGCTCTGGAAGTGCCATCCAACTTGTTCAGATATCGAGATAGGTTTTCTTATTAAGTCGACTTATAAAGCGTGTTTAGTCGAATTAACGAGATAAATGATGAGTCAAGTCGACTTACTGATTCTAGTAAGTCGACTTGGCGAGATAATCCATGTCAACAAGTGTACAACATGCAGGCATGAACTGACTACTCACAAGTGAACGTGACCTGCAGCGTATTTTCTCGCCAAGTCGACTTGCTAGATTTGGGAATTTGACTTGACAGCAAAATTTATTTCGACGAGATGACAGAGTGAATTTTGAAAGTGGACTTGATGACATGAATTGTATCGCCAAGTCGACTTACTAGAAATAGCAATTCGACTTGAGTATTTAACTTATCTCGCTAAGTTGACACAAGAAAAATCCGGAAGTAGACTTGACAACAAAAATTATCTCTCCGAGATGACATACCGAGTTCTGGAAGTAGACTTCATGACGTATATTAAGTCAATATAAGGAACTCTGCAAACAGGTGTGATGTCATAAAATATCTCGCGATAAAGTTAGGAAGTCGGCTTAGCTACATAATTTATCCCGTTAAATCGACTAAATACGCTTTATAAGTCGACTGACTAAGATAAATTATCTCAGTATCTAAACAAGTCGGGTGGCACTCACAGAGCGCCGTAGAAACGCACCGCCGTGAAAGAGAAAGACACGTGGCCTTAACGAGCTTCCGTACAAATACGAGCGCGTGTGCGGTATCCACACTGGAAAATGCCATTGCACGTACATGTACATGTACATTGTATTTGACCGTGCAGAAACATGGCATTGAATACACGACAGGCAAGTGGAACTGCAAGTTTTTCGCGTATTCGAAACCTCGTTCTCGTGTTAGACGAACACGAGAACGGGGTTTCGAGCGGGGAGAATCAACACGCGAACATTGTTCGCGAACAAGATTCTCACTCCTCACTTTCTGAGGAGTGGATGAATAACATCAAGAACAAAGATGGCGGATATAGGTACATACTGTAACTTTGGTTTTGTTACATAAACTAGAAAACACTCACAATAAGGAAAATGAAACCCAGGGCAAATACTCATGGCTATCGGAGGGAATTTACCCTGACCAATTAATGTGGATATTTGGGGGTATTATTTAATGTGAGATAGTAAATGTCATGCCATCATTTCATTTGGTGTCAAAATGGCGACTGCTATCTTCTTGACCTTCAGCGCAGCTGCGCTCCTGGCCTTTTGCACTATGACGTTCGTAATCAACGACCCAAGAACACTGTTCGTGAGTCCCATGAAAATGGGGTTTCAAATACGATCATGATAGCGCGCAAAATGTTGCGAAAGAATCGCTGGTACTTTCGGGGTGTGCTTCATGAACAGGATCATCAATCCATTCAACTTTGCAATCTTTTTTCGGGCCAAGATTGTGCGTGTAAATATGGCTTTATTCTTTGTCGATATGCGGCACAGTGCACAAATAGTACTAGATTAAGATCATGGTGTGGTATATAGTGTATTGTCTCTTTTTGCTGAATGTCCCCAAACTTCTGAAATTAGAGTCTTGCAAAAGCAAGCTGTTTGTTTTTCGTTGACATACTTAATACACCAAGGTAGTCATTTTGACTTAATATAATTCCTTTCATGGGTTTGGGGGGGGTATTATGAATTAATACAGGAGAGCAATTTATCGCTCTTTATTCACATTTGAAATAGGTTCCAAGTTTAAAGAAAATTTTTTTTAATCTCCTCTTTACAACGTACCTTACTAAAATCCTAAAGAATTTGCTTCTTTGCCAAACGGGGATTATAGTAAATGTAAGCAAAAATCCTAAGGCTGCTCTTTCAAAACCTGAAACCCGAATAATAAATCTTTTTCATTTGGATAATTTGCGTTTGCTATACCAGTTTCCATGTCTTTCATTCTGTGTCTTTGATAACCCCGCCTCTATCCTTCCATGATTTCCTTCCCCTCAATTAGAAGACAAAACTTTAAACCATCTATTCATTCACAGTTATTAATAGCAATCTCGACGAATATCATGTGGCTGCAATGTATACGTCGCTTGGCACTTTGTTGGGGGTTTATCGAATCCCGAGGCTTTGGTAAAAACTGTTTTTGCTGACCTGTTATTTTAATTATTTACTCGTTGAGAAATCATCTCTCGTATCGGCTCGGGGACGTCTAGATTGTTCTCTGAAAGGATTAAAATAGCTTGTGTAATAACAACTAAAATATGCTTTGTTGGAGTCGAACAATTGACACCTGCTTGTCAGATACCGCAAAAAGACCAAACATGGTGTTCGGGTGGTTCCCAGGTTTATTTATTTCCAAGGTTGCACGCTATCAGTATTGATATAGAGCACATTTTTAACGGGTGCGTCGCGTCCGTATCACGTATTGCCAGGCAAATTTGCTCATCATCAAATTCAAGTTTGCCAAACAATCAGGGTTCAGCGATTATCTGACCGCTCTCAAGTTGTAATCGCTCGGTCCCCTGGCTTTCATGAAACTTTGACAGCCTTGGTGTCCAACAACAGCTACTTGCACATACATGTATTGTGTTTCTGAAAGGCACTCATGAAAGAAAATATGAATCGAGTATTCATTGTTTTTCATTTTCCGCTGTTTTTGTTTCCGGGGGGCTTTTGCCGTTCACGTGTAACGGCGTTTGTGATTGGCCAACCAAGTTCGGCTATCGTGCACGGCGCGTGCACGCGCGTAGAGAAAGCTATACTTGACACGGAGCAATCCTACCTCTCTTGATTGTGTTTTTGAAAAGGCATTTATAGATAACAGGGAATTTTCCATCGAAGGGCTTTGTCCGCTGGAGTGTTTGCGGGTTTTAAACGTCTTAAAAAACTAATTTTTGAAGGCAGAATACTTTGTCTTGAAACTGTTTCTTGTTTTTGAAAAAGAAATGAATTATAGACATTGCCGTGGTCTATGTTTCAGGAAACTATCAGCTTCGAAAAAACACTGAACAAGCAAGATCGAAATTATGTACAGGCCCCAGCCAAAACAGAAAATGCGAAGTGTCAAGTCCGCAACACAATGAACACATGACATGAAATTAATGAATGAGTTAAGATTTTAGTTTCCTAAGCAGTGTTTTTAATTTTATCATTCATAGTTATTCCTTTGTAGTCAACAACTCACCATTTACCATTATTTTGTTCACCTCACGATAATTAGGCTCTCATCGATTGCACCCCCCTACAAGTCTGCGTACACCACCCCGCCTTTTTGCTTTCTATTGTCTAATGTAGGTTTTGCCGGTTAATTTAGCACGGCCTTCTTTCATTTAAAAATGCTTAAACGAAATTTAATTTCGTCAAAGAGGGGTCACTCTCTCTAAATGTTGATTCCAATTTCGAAATTACACGACTGGATTTCATTCTCAGGGCATTGAAAATCACGAAAGAAAAAAACACACTGATTCGTCTCACTCCGGGAATGGCGTTGAATTGGAAAAGCAAATTCGGGTTTTTTGGGTCATCCGTTTTACCGATTTAATGATCATTCAATTTCGTCATAGAATGTATCGCTAAGATGGTTTGAATTAGGCCTAGCGGTTATTTGGGCGTAATTTTTGTTGTAATTCAAATTGACCAAGAACGAATAAGCTGAAGAAATCAGGCATAATATGTAATTCACTGTTATTTGACTTTCTCTTGTTAATTAGATTAAGGGCTGATGCTCATCAAACTTAGGCTTTTATACTCCGCACTGCTGGTGTTACTTTACACACCTACATGTGTCACGATGCACTGGATGGTGGTAAATGTCACACCAACAGTGTTGAAATGATACTAAAACTTTGAACACTGGTGAAAAGTATTGGCATGGTCCCCTGTGAGCAACGATTTTTAATTTTGTATTTAATTTTTTTGTGCATTGTTGTATCTGCCGGCTTCATCGAAACCGAATCGCGACAGAACGTGTCCCTTGAATTCGTGCGGCACTGTTCTAAGTCTTGGTTGGTGTAGCTACGTGTGCTTATTTCACACAAATTCATTTCCATTAATCCATGTTCCAGCAAGGCCCACTTCATTGGCCAGTGCGAGCTAAAGCTGTAACAAGACTGTGTATTAAACGACATCGAATTTTGTGGCGCCGCTGTCAAATGTTGCAGTGCAAATTTAGAACCATTAAATCACATCTTATCGTCGGCGACATCACGAACTAACCCACAAGTCCTAGTTTGGTTCAGCTTGTGAAAACAAACAATTCAGGTTTCACGAATTAACGTTAAGAAAAGGGGGTATAATGCACGTGCACTTGATACTAGTCTTGGGATTTATTTCTGGATTGTATTTTTCGCGAATATGCGTATCGTGGATGCTCGGTTCAAACGAAATACACGGTAAATGTTTAACACCAATCACCCATTCGTGTACTTGTGGATCATAGTAGCATTGAGCGAAAACCATTCTTGCTTGGGAAATCGACGAAGATTTTATTACTTGAAAGCAAATACGTCCTGAGACTTACGCGTGTTTGTTCGTGAAACCGAAAATTGCGGGAACTGTTAAGTTTCTACCCAGGGTGTGCACAGAGGTTCACCCTTGCTGTAGTTCGTGATATCCTCTTAAATTTTTACGCATTTACTCAAAAAAGTCAAATAAGAAAAATTTTAAAAATCACCCATTGCTCAAGAAGATCTATTGTAATCCCCGTTAGTGTAGCCTCTTCGGGGGAAAAAGTATTTTACGCTAAGCAAGCTAAGCCTGAAAACAAGTAAAGCCCCTGCCCTAAAGATTCTTCCGAAGTTCAAGTCAAAGTATATCATGGTGAAAACGTGTAAGGTGACAGCATTGAAAAGTTTGTCCAGTAATAATACTAGAGTAAAGTTTGTGAAATATCAGTTGACTGATATACGAACACGATCAAGTCTTCGTTTTTGCAGTCTCAGAATCGCTTTCAAGTTCGTTTTAATCAATTGAGCTATAATTATGCCATGCAAGGATTGCCCGACGCGTGATCGACTGGAGGCTAGTCTAGCTGTTGAGGCGGCCCGTAAGCTGCAACTCGCCTCGTCGACAATAATAACCGGGAGAAATCCCAGGGTCGCGGGGGCATGTCTCTCGTATCGGAGGCCGGCCGAGGGGGATGCCCTTTGCACGGTAACAAGCTTCCCATTGGTCAGTCGCGGGGGGGGGGTTGATTAATTATTACTGTCAACAAGGCAGGCATGACCGAAGATCATGATCGCTGGGCTTTCACACAATTATGCAAGGGCTCAAATCCTCCCTGGCAGCTGTGATATACTGTGGAGGCACTGATTTGGAAACCCCTCTGAAACCCACTCCCACTCCAAGAGCTGTCGCAATCATTCACGGGGGGTCGAGATAACGGAGTATATAAAGCGCGCTCTGGTTGATTGCTGCTAATTTCCACCGAGATCGTCTTGTTGTTTGGAGCCACAAGATGAGATTCTGCGTACTTCTCCTTACGGTGACCAGCGCCTTGGCCTGTGAGTATACCTTCTAAAATTTTTCATTTTCTTTTTTTTTTTATGAAAATGACTTTCTTTCCTTCCTTTAAATTTTGGACAATTTTATTTAAATGTGGTAAAATGTTGTCTTATGTTATGCTTTTTAGAATAATTAAAACGTTTCGCTTTATTTCATTAACTACGTATAACTTGAATGATACTGATGATCTTTGAAAGTTGACATCTTAACGTTAAGTGATTTGTTGTCAACCAGAATTAAAATATGAATGTTTCTGGTAAAAATCAGTCAGTTATGGTTAAACTCGTCCCTCTCCGGCTGAGATTGGTAAACTTGTTTAAACAAAGAGCAAAGTTTAATTTGAAGGACAATCATGACAATACGTGAATAAAACATTGAGGTAATCATTTTTCTAACAGTCGATAAACTTTATTACTGAGGTCCTTGCTTCCTACATGTCATTTATAGCCTGCTTATTAGTACCCGGGAAGGATTTTATCCGTTCATGAACACTGCTTTTAATTTTTTAATTAGATCTATTTTAGTCATGTCACAGCCAGAAAGTACTGGTACCATTGTTCACTTTTCGGGACCTATTTCCCCCCGGCTTCTGTGTTCAATTAACACGAACTGCCTCACTTGTCCAATCCGCACACCGTTGTTAGGTGACAGTTTTACAGTTGAAACCTGTCAGAAGCCGGCAACTTGTTTACTTCCCACAGCTGATCGCAGGAACGGAAGGTCATTGTTTAACGCACACTGCGGTTCGTGGGTACTGCGCATGCCCGGCTCCATTGTATGCTAATTGTGTTTGCGCCAATAGCGAGCTCTTTGTGTGGGGCGAAGTTCGCGCGCGCAGGCGGAAAAGTTCTATAAGGCGGTCAGAAAAATTGCGAAATCGCTGCATGCGCCCTCCCTCTCTGTACAGAAACCTGTGATGATTTATTATGAATGACTTGTTCTAAACAAGATCATAAAACGTCCACAAGGGCAGCAAACTTTAACAGCAATGTTGTTCTGTATTTATCTCGTTTTAAGAGGACAAGACAATTGATAGTTAAGCTTTCTAACTTGATCTTGGGAATGGAACAGTAATGAACAGCTTGGGTCGAATGCAAAAGCTCCAAGTTTCTTTCTTTTTAAAAATACGTCAAACAACTTCGATCCTTTGCTGTAATGCGTTCACGTTTGAGTCGGGGTGGGGGAACGGGTATTTTCTTCTTTGAAAAGATAGACTATAGGACCCCCCCAAAGGAAGACGCCAAAGTGTTGGGCGCTATCAATTCCTGAAAGGGGGGAAGCAGCCCTGGGGGCAACCTAGCTTTAAAATGAAATGATAAAACTGACACAGAAAAACATGAAGTTTTCAACATCTAGGATGGAAGCGTGCACTATCGTGAGTGTTGCCTTGAACTGAAGCCAATTTCTGGAAAGAGGGCACAGGATGGTTTTTGAAAAGCTGTGACTGGTTCCCCCCAAAACCGCGGACATGTTTTATCATATTTTTCTTTTATAATAATTTCTTTTCTTTTATGCCGACAGGGCCCGTGGCTTGGAGGGGCGACGAACAGCAATGCCCTCCAATGAGTGAGTGACTGTTTTATTTCTTTGGAAGGAATGAAGCTCGGACTTAGAAAAACCATTGTTTCACTGCAGATTTCATAAGATTTTGGGGGAAAATCCACAGTTAATGCAGAACTTTAGACCCTATCCATTTTTTTTTTACTGCACTCTGAAAAGTAGTATTCTCAGTTGATGTGTGGGCAATTTTGTTTCATTTACCGACAGTTGCAGAACATATAACTTTTTAAACCCAGCTTTTATGTCTTTTTGCCCAACAATTAAGGGATTCACCTGGTACCCAACTTTTGGGGCAAAAATTATTCATTATGTTTCTTGGTGTATGACGCAGTATTATGTAACATTTCTGGAAAAATTTCGCAACATCTGACGCCCGGGTGTTCCACCGTTACCTATTCCATTTCGTAATAATTTCTTTCGCATTGTTAAGGTCGACCCAAATTGGCACTGTCATTGACAGTATCCTTTTTAGCACCTTGTTTCCCCAAAATTTGATAAATGACAGGTGTGGATGGGGTTTAAAAGTGATCGCTGATCTTGTTTGTTGACTTTTGATAATGTTATCTAGATGAACAAGGATCAGCGCTGAACAAAAGCTGCCCAATTGTCCACGCCGTTCCAAAAGTCGGGACCCGATATCGCGCACACAATGGCCAATAAAGTTAATTGGTTAGCGCCGGGTAAATAATAACGGGCCGCCGTTATCTCTTGCGCATTGCAAAATTTCTTTTCGAATCTGTGCCCAAGTTGTAAAGGTGGAGCTGCCGTAAGATCGATACAAACAATTCTCGTTTCATTTTTTTCAGTCGGGATCAAGGGTTTAAACGGCTGAGTGAAAAAGTCGGTGTTGAAAGAGATGGGGGAGCTGAAATAGATATAAATAACTTCTGTGTCTGTGTTAGTGGCGACGGAGCGGTGTCGCTTTTTGGCGGGAAACTCAAATCTAAATTTTGGCCATGTGCTCTTAATCTGGCATTTGGAATTCCTTTACTAATGTGACTTTTTTTTCTGTTGTAATGCACATTTCCCTTGCGGTTTTCTTGTCTTTTGAATTTAAATGGGTCAGGACTTGTTAAGAATATGATGTGTGGATTTTTTTTCTGATTTTGGAATATTTTTTTTCTATTTCTGTTTTCTTTTTTGTTTTTTCTTAGTTTTTTTCTTTTGGTTTTCTTTTTCTTTCCGGTAAACCTTCTGTTGGTGCAACGCACGACCTGTCAGTGTCAATATACTGGGGAAATAGATGGATTCTTAACCAGATAGTAATAATTTTTTTTGGAGGGGGGTCTGATCATGGTCGTCTGCTGCATCATGATACTCATCGCCTAAAAAGTCAACGAATGCCACAAAATGTTTTGATATCTCAGAAATGTTTCGATAATAAGGCTTATTCTTGTCTTGTTACATTTGTTCTTGTCGAAATGATATTTGACCTTGAAAACAGTGGAATTATTAAATTGTATTCGACCTTCAACTTAGTGAAATTGTTGTCAAATTACATTTGACATTCAAAACAGTCGAATTGGCCTTGTTCATATTTTTCCAAGTCTGATTTACTGCTCATTTGTCTTTGCTCATTCTGGGTAACTTTTGCCCCTTCTGAATAAAATTTAGCTTTTTGGGAAATCTGCATTGTTATTTACATACAGCTGAAAATTAATTTATTTTGATTCAAAACCATTTTTTCTTTGCACGTTACACTCACATAAAATTTGGTAAAAGCTTCGAGTTGAACTCATAGAATGTGAACATACTTATTCTCCTGAACCATTGCATGTTGTCACTGTCATTGTGTCATTTTCAGGTGACAGGCTGTTCGAGTCTGGCTTCAGCTACCTCCTCAAATATGACACCTCGGTGACCACCCTGATTAACGGCACCAGCGATGAAGTGACCGGTATGACCATCGACTGTGATGTCACAATCGAGGCACACTCGGACTGCATGCTGGTCTTAAAAACTGAGAAATGTAACCTCAAGAACACGGACCGACAGCGCCTGACCAATAACCGGGAGTTCTCCCAGGCGATGAGCGAGCACGAGTTGGTGCTGAGAATGGACAATGGCCGGCTGGTCGAGATGTATGCCCACGAGGATGAGCCCATCCACATCTTGAACATCAAGAGGGGCATTGTCAGCACCTTGCAGCATGACCTGAGGGAGGAGGAGATCGTCTCTGAGACCACCGTCAACGGAAACTGCACGGCCAAACGCACTGTGACCGACCGCTCTAAGTTGGGACGCATGCAGAAACTCTCCATTTCCACCGACCTGAACAACTGCAGCCGACCGCAGCAGAGGGCCGTTACTATGTCTCCTACCTCTTTCCTCACTAGCATGGTACGTTCCCACTTCTCCACTTTCTCCCACTTTGTTATCAGCTTTACACTTCATACAGCAGCCGCCTGGATAAGACATCTTAATAAAATCGTGAAATTTCAACTGCTTCTGTGGAGCGAGAAAGTTTTTTTCAAGATGTAAAATGTCGGAGTCAAACCAGCTTTTCTTTGGCTTCATCAACAGACTGGCTGTATGTCACTGAAGCACAAGCCTCTTCAGAATCAATGTTAAAGGTTAATTTGTCTGCATTTCTCCTCTCCTTTTCAGCAAATTGCTGACAAGTTCATCAACTCAACCAGAATGTGTACCTATGAGCTGCGTGAGGACAACATCAAAAAGGTTAACTGCACGGAAAGCCATATCTTCAATCCGTTCAGCTATGATGGGCAGCGCGGCATCATGTCTGTTATCAAACAGGACCTCAAGTACAAGGATACCTTCAAGATGAATGCCATCTTGAAACTGAAGGGTGAGTGTTCCGCTTGAGAAAAAAATCTAAATATTTGCTTTTGTTTAAAAGTGCACTTATTTCACAAGAGCTGTCATAAACACGAGAATGTTAATTTTCATTCCCCAATATATCTCCGACACTTTTGTGATGACCACAATCCACAATACTGTAATTGTTGGATTACTAAATCATTTGTCTAAGTAATTTGGTTGACACTGTAAGTCTTGTTTTCATTTCAACCTTTTGATGTTTTCTGAGGTAAAATATTCCTGTCAAAAATCAAGGCTTTCCATTGTTACCCTTCAATGAGAGTGAGCTTCAAACCTCATTTTCTCATAGATTCCATGGTCAAGAAGAACCTGACGTACGAATTCGAGGAGCAGCCAGAGTCCGCCTCGGAGAGCGCAGCTCACACCCGTGACATCCTGGACAGGCTCGTTCGTGGATCCCTCGATGAGGTTCAGTTTGATTCGGCCCGCCTCTTTGGAGAGTTCGTGGTCAACATCCGCACCCTGAACTACCCAGCCCTGAAGGAGATGTTTGACAATGTCAGGATCCTAGATGTTGAGCTTGCCAAGTGAGTAGGATGTTTAATTCATTCGTTCAAAACAGAATCTCAGTATTGATGAGTAACTCTACCAAACCGTCAATATTCAACCATTTAGTAAGAGTTTGAAATACCTTCACCATTTTACAAATCCTGCAGTGAAAGATTACTTAACTTGTAAATGGTGGTTTTTATCCCTTGTCAGAAGGGATTATTAGTGAGTAGTATGTTGTAGTTTTCCCAAAGGGGTGTTGGGAATATTGGCCAAAACTAATCATTATTTTATTTTCCCTAAGTAACTGATATTTATTATTTATTGTGTAAAGGAAACAAGGCTCTGGAGGTTTGGTATTTACTGCTTCCTTGCTTGAAAGCAGCCTTAATGTTGACATTGCATCTTGATGTTTTGATGTTTTTCCTGTTTCTTCTGGTCCAGGACCTACATGTATGATGCTCTCCTGCAGTGCGGTAGCATCCCTTGCTTCAAAGTGATGAACGATCTCATCATCGACGAGACTGTCCCCGCACCCATCTCGGATGCCATCATGTACATCATGGCCTTCCGCCAGTTCCCACCACTGACACTGATTGAGGAGAGCTTGCGCGTTGCCCAGACCCACAAGAGACAGTCGGTCCTCCTACCTCTCAGCATCATGGTCCACAACTACTACATCCAGCAAGAGGCCGAGCTGAGAGATGCCCGCAAGGTATGTGGGAAAGTAATGTGCCCTATACCAAAGGGTCAAATCTGTCTCGAAATATAGTAGAATATATATAATGTGACTTAGTGAGTATGGATATGATTTGTGGGTTTGATCCTGTGTCTCCTATGTATTAAAACAAATATTCTCTGATGTTATTTGTTCCTTGTGTGTTTGTAGCCAACTTTGTCATCAAGAAAGTTCATATGCAAAATGTTACCAAAATTCTTTGAATGTTTTTTACAGTTTATCAACTGAAAGATTGCATTGCAAATTCTGAAAGTGAAAAAATGAGGGTGTCTTTTTTTCCTTTTTACTGTTGTGTTGTGACAAACTGCATTTTTCTTCCATCAGCTTCCCGATCCCTTGAAAGAGTCCATCCGTCTGGTGCGCGACATGCTCCTCACGGACTGCTCTGTTCCAGAGGACATCCAAGGAGAGGAGAAAATCGAACAGAACCGCCGCATTCTTTTGGCCCTGAAGGTGAGTTTCCTCTTCAACTTTTCCATCCTGCCAGTGGTGTGGTCGAATACTTTGCAAGCACTCCACGTGCACTTTTCACTTGTCATCCCAAGCTTTGTCAGAGAACTCTCATGAAAACAGCTTTGTTGTATGTCATGTGTTAGTAGTTAACTTGCAAAGCTGTTGTAAGTGCTTGCAAAGCACTTGACTTTAACACTGGATCTTGCTGTCTTAAGATATGGTGGCAACTGAAGCAGTCTCGGACAATCGTCATCAGGAACTAAACTGTCACTCAACTTTACATTTCCTCAGTTTCTGTACAGCTTTTTTTGATGCTGTTTCTCCAAAAAGTGAATTAAATTTGATGCCACTTTCTGTGTGGGCTAATGTGACAAAATCACTCTGCATAAGGCTTCCACTTACAGAATATTTCACTGAAAAGGAGCTGTCTCAATGACCAGTATGGATGGATTGAGCCAGCATATTTATTCTTAAAAAGATTTTGCTCAACAATCTAAGATAGATTTGTGTTTTCTTTGCAGAGCATTGGCAACATGGGTGAGGCCGTCCAGAAGTTTGACCACGATGAGTTCTTCACCTCGGAGCAGATCGTGCCTCGCCTGAAGGACTGCATTGCCCGCAAGGACCTGCACCACAACATTACCATGGCTGCCATCCAGGCATTCCGTCGCTTCAACATCCCAAGGTAAAAACCCATGCACTCGTTGTGCTGAATCCACTGATTTGATCAAGTGTTGATTTAAAATACCGTTCCTTTTGTGAGCCGAATCCACTGATTTGGGCATACGTTGGATTGAAAGCCTATTCATTCTGTGAGCTGAATCCACTGATTTGGTCAAATAATTAAAAACCCACACACTCAGTGAGCTGAATCCACTGATGCAGCCAAGTATCTGTCAGTTGCATCCCTGTTACTTTTTGGCACTTTAATGAGTCCGTCATATATCATTTGGTAGAATAATCTTTCATATATTAGAATCAATTTTCTCAGCAGGAATTTGAGACAATGTTATACATTATTAGCTCTTTTCAGAAATTTATCTACTGTTCAGGGTAAAACATTTCTTGCATCAAAACATCAGGTGTTATTTAGTAGTGATGGAGCAATTTACAAAGCTGGTTTCATTCCCATAGCACTGACGAGAAGAGGGTCCGCACTGCCCTGAAGGACGTACTGGCCGATTCCTCAAGGGCTGTCCATGTCCGAATTGCTTCCTACCTGATGGTCATGCGCAGTCACCCCTCTGTGGCTGACCTGGAGTTCATCATTGACATCATGCTAAATGAGCCCCTCATGCAAGTCAAGGCCTTCGTCTTCTCTCACATTGAGAATGTCATGGAGTCTGAAGAGCCTCTGATTCAAGAGTAAGTCAAAAGAGATAAACTTACAAATGCTTTGTGTTTTAAAAATCACACAAAAAGCAGAAATTGTTGCTGCGGTTTGATGTTGCTTAGACCAGGAAAAATTGGGCATAGCTACAAATGGACGGAGAGCTCAAAACTGGTTGTGGGTGATTTTCAGTGACTGAGAAATTTGTGGAACTTTGTGGTGTTCCTGATATTTAAAAATGTTTTGTAACAGTTTCAAACTGTGATTTGAAGTATTTTTTTCACTAAACCAAAACTTCTTTCGAACAGTCTCATTTCAAACTTAATAACTTACTTTAAGAGTGTCTAAGATGAAAAAGCAGCATTCCAAATGGCAGGCTTAAAGCTTTATACTTTGAATTCTTTCTCAAATGTGCCCGATTTTGATATACCATGTCAAATTTTTGTCTACATCTAAATATTCAGTTATTTATGATTGCTTGACTCTGAAGAGGAGTAATTTTTTATTGGTGTTTCATTATGGAAGTTCATGGTTCATCATGGTTCAATAAAAGATTTTCTCTCTGTAACCGTAGCCTGAAGATGAAGTTCACTGCTGCCATGGGCAACCGCCAACTCCCAGAATACCCGAAGGACCCACTGCGCTACTCGCGCAACATTGAGAAGTCCAAGGCTGTCAATGTGCCCTACTTCAACAAGACCCTGGCTACCCAGATTGAATCCAATGTCATCTTTAAACCGGAGCACTACCTGCCTCATCACGTCATGCTGAACACCACCATCAACGTTCTTGGACAGAGCTGGAACCTGTTTGAGGTTGGTTGGATTTCTTTCGCTCATTTCAAAATTTAAGGAAAGGTCTTTTTGGAGTGTATGACAAGGTTTCTGCACACGCAAGGCTGCATAATCAGGGCTTGATAGCTGATAGACTAAGGCACCACTGTTCTGTAGGTTCAACTCCGTCACAGGCACCAGCACCAATTTCGTGGTGCTTGTAGGGGCTGGGGGCTCCCATTTGTTGATGCTCAACTTAACCAGTAAACTGTGTACTGGCTTGGGTGAAGCTGTTCAAAATTTGAAACTTAAAAGAGACTTTAGCACTTTTTGGTACCTCCGTCAAATTTTGTGTAGGCCCTTACATTTCTTTGTCCCTCACATTTTGTAGGCTAAGGGCAGAGTGCCTTCTAAGCCCATTGGATAAATGGTCCTACTCATGGTCTGAGGAATACAAAATGCAAAATTATGACCTTGTGACTTTGAAGATGTTTTCTAGAGGTATCAACATTTTAAAGTTTGCCTTAGGAGTGATGATGCCTTAATAATACAGATGTATGTGTGCTTTTTCAAATCTGTAGACTGGTGTTGAGATGCAGGGATTTGAGCCAGCTTTAGAGGCCATCTTCGGCCCCATGGGCTACTACCCGGATGACGTCCTGGGCAGCCTCTTCAAGCAGATGGACACTAGGATCCTGGCCAAGATGAAGGATGCCTACACCTTCCTGTTGGAGGAAGCCAAGGTCCAGATCGAGGAGCTGCGGAACACTCCCTGGTCCGAACTGGATGAACTCCTCATGGCCAAGCTGAGGGATGCCAAGCAGGCCATCTTGGACAAGTTCAACCTCACCCGCCCAGCTGAGACAACACCAACAGAAAGCCCCATGGCCGAGCACATGAATGAGGTGGTAAGTGAAGAGATTACATTACTTTACATCCACACTGAAACAAAGTCCTGACAGCTGTTTTCAATTCAAAGTCAGCATTTTTTGTATACAATGGGGCTGTACTTGGATTGGATCAAGATTTTTGCCCCCCCCCCGGATGGTAGTAAAAAATATTAAGGAGTGAATGCTGACTTCACGAGAGTCAACAAGAAATAAGGAGTCTCTTGCTATTCCATGTTTGGCACAAACATACAAACTCGTGCCTTTACGAAGACAGATGTTTAATCACCAGGTTTACTGGACTCTGCTCGCTGAAATCACAGTGTATGTAACACAGGTACCAAAAATTTTCTGTCAAGAGTGTTGGTAAATGAAAATGTGATATGTCCATGCAGCCTGGGTGATTTCATATGATAGGTATGGGATTTGAATTATCACAAATTCCATCACTGTTTCCATTCTGATACTGCAGCTCCGACAGGCCCTCCCTGTTGAGTTTGAGGACAAGCTGAACAGAATCCACAGCATGATTCCCCAGGGATCCAACATGCCTCATGCCTCCATCTATATCAAGATGCTCGGCAATGAGCTGGGCTACGTCAGCCTGGACAACATCAAGTCCATCATCCCGAAGCTCAACTTTAGCATCGAAAACATCAAGACTGTCGCCAAGAATGTAAGCCCAGCTTGACTTTCTTTTCCTTTCTGTGCTAGATGATTTTAAAACCTCTCTTAGATGAAAACCAGTTGACCCCTTTGAGCTCCTGATGTTTTCTCCAATATCAAGAAAGGGGATTTGATTTGGCAGAATGGACATTCTTTTTAGTCGTGATTTATTTCTCTCCATATTCAGTACGCACAGGAGTTGATGGAGAAGGTTGCTCAGGGAGTGGAGAAGAACATCACCAAGAGCTTCATCTTTTTGGAGCGTGACTACATCATCCCCACCAGCTCTGGTCTGCCTCTCAACTGCACTGTCAATGGAACTGCCGTGCTCAGCCTGCGCATGCGTGCAGCCCTGGGCATGGAGCCCATGACAATGAGGGCCTACGCCTCTGGTAGGATCAACCCAAGGTAAGTCCGTTTGCTACACAGAAATATCAAGATCGGAATACGTGGTTAACATGATAATAGAGGACTTGCACCATGTTCTCTTGCTGAACACAAATTTTGTCTGTCAAAATCAGTGACAATAAAATTACAAAGGCTCTACATATGTATACCATGGTGGAAGAAAGATGTGCCCTTAATCATGGCACGCGATGCAAGCCCTCGGAGAACTTATATTGAACAAAATGTTGAAACTTACTTATTGCTTAGTGGAGACAAAACAGGCAGAATATGTCTACTAAAACAGGCACCAGTTTTACATATCTTTAAATATAAGCATCAAAACTGGAAACAAGTCTTCATTGCATTCTCCATCAAACTTTCCCTGAGTTACTCCCCTACTTGAGATTAAAATCCAGACGGCAAGCTGTTTGACACTGTTATTTCAACCAATATTAACCTTTGAAACAATGTCCCATACCTGCTATGAAGATATTCCTCAACTACAGATCCTTGATAATGAAGGGCTCATGCCCTCACCTATGCCATATCTTCACTTTGGATTTTTTGTTTGGTTTGGTCATCTTTCCCAGTGCCTCGGTAGAGGTTGTTGGTACCATGGGAGTCAACGTACCCATCCTGGGTCAGGCCGCCGTCATGGCCAATGCCACCACGTATCACGCCTCCCACATCGAGGGCAACGTCACGCTCAATGGTGCCCACCTCAAGCTGAACCTGAACAACACGGACAGGCCCATGAACCTCCTCAATTTCTCCACCAACTTCTTCCTGATCAAGTGAGTGTACATCTCCGACTTTTCTGCCCGAGATGCCGTGGCTTGCACAGCTGGAGATGAACACATTAGAGGCTGCCATGGTGGTTTGGAAGATTTTATGAGATAGGTCCCATGTAAAACACTTCATTTAATCCAGCTGTTTATATCCATGTTAAAAAGAGGAAATGGACAAAATTGACAAAAGTAATGTGTTCAATACTTTGAGATCCTGATACTTCAAGCTCAAGTAAGATACCTTTACACATGCTTTTAATACAGAAAGGAGTCTGTTGCTAAAATAAACTTTAAAGCAGCTGAAGTAGTTAAGCTGTGAATGACAATAACCAAACTTTGACTTGGTGCTTCACACCAGGTAAAATGCCGTGTTCAAGTTTGACCAAACTTTATTCCTTCTTCCAGGCCGGATGGTCAGATCCAGTGGATCCCAGGGGTTGAACAGGACCGTGTTGAGGTCCAGAAGTGCCTCAATGTCACTAAGAAGGTTCTGGGCGTTGATCTCTGTGTCTCTTGGGCCTACCCCAATGCCAGCTATGTCAACATGGCCCCTCGGTTCCCTATCACTGGCCCATCCAGCTTCAACATCACTCTGGATAACACTGACAAGTAAGTAGTACCAGAGCCCTCAAAGTGTTTTACTGTCAAGTTGTGAATATTTAATGGTTTCAGATCAAACAAGAAGGGCAAAAGCCTTGCCGCTGTTTATGGGCTTTGGTTGTTGTATTTTAAAACTTTATGTTTTCCTGCTTGTTTTCATTTCTGCAGGGCCCTGAAGACATATACCTTGGAATTCCTGTACAAGATGATCAAGAAGGGAGGCAGCCCCGCCAAGAAGACGCTGAGCATGATTGCCAAGAAGAAGCCCAGCCAGCAGCCAGCTGAGATCACCGATGTCATCTTGGTCAATTTCACCGCCCCAGGTGAGAACTTGTCTTTAAAGTAACCACATGTGGCTAAGTTTCCATTTCGTTGTCCAGAGAAAAGGGCCTTGTGGGCTCGGTTGAGCTCTCTGTCCTCTCCCATTGTTCTTCTCTGACAAAACCAGAAAATGTGTCAAGAATTTAAAATTTACAAAAAGCTAAGCAAATGTGGCTTGAGGCTATCTATTTTCTATCATGGTAACCCCTCACCAGCCCAGAAGAGAAAAGAAAATGGAGCTCATTTCAATTGGGCACCAGGAGCATGTGGTAAGACTGTACTTTCCAACAGAAGTTAGTCACATGTGCTTATGCATGTGTGTCTTCCGTGCCAAGCACAAGAGGGCCTGTGCATTCATGCAGTATATCCCCATCCACTACATTGCTATGGAAAGGTACATCTCTTCCATGTACCAGTAGTCGATCTGGATTAGAAGACTTAAAAGTTTCTGTATAAATGTAGCATAGTCAGGTGTCAGGCCTGCATTGTGGAAATCATGCTAAATGCTGAGCCCGCTGCATTCACTCACAGGTGCTGAGCTGCGGAGAGAGATCTCCTCCCTCTTCACCTTCAACCGTGCCAAGTTGGAGGCCAAGTGGAACTTCTCCATCCCAGAGCTACAAACCTATGTCTTTGCTGGCCTGCTCAACCTCACGGACCCCAGCACCTCGACCTCCGGCTTCCACCTGGTCGCCAACGCCACTGCCGGGCCAAAGTACACCGCATCTGTCTCCACCACCCTCAAGAACGTGACCACCCTGGAGAAGACCAACTACACAGCCGTGTTCAATGCCTCGGTGATGAACCTGCACTTTGCCAATGTGGCACAGTACGTTGGCATGGCTAACAACTGGAGAGCGAGTGCCACCAACTACTACTACTGGTAAGTAACATAGCCATGTCGAGTTTTTCACAAGTTCAGTCACATGACTATAGTCATAACAAGGTGAACAATGAGAAAGGAATGCTTTTGTCATAGTTCATTTAAAAGATTGTAAATGGGATCGTTTGTAATTTGGATACAGACTTGTTAGCACTTGCAGTGGATTTGCAACTTGTTGGGACTTGTTAGGACCTGTGATGTGACTCAATACAAATTTGGACCTTCTCTTACAGGGACAACATTGTCATTCAAAATGTCCTCTCATGGAAATGTGAGGACATTTCAGATATAAAACAATCAAGAGATACTTGAGACTTGAGAGGGAAGAAACTGTGAGCCCTAACAACATTGTAACAGTGTGTTGAGATCTGAAGATGTGATTCTGAAAGTTACCGCTTCTGTTCTTAATGCAGGGATGATGAGACACCGCTGTACAGGCAGATCCTCTTCCCCTTCTACAACTACAGCATCAACCATGAGAAGTACCGCCAGAACACTCTGCTGATCGAGTCCAACAAGCAGGTGCTGGGCCCCGAAAACCGTATCTGGGACTCACGGGTGCTGCTGAGTGCCTTTGAGCAGAACCTGACGGCAACGAGCCACATTGACCATATCGATGGTAACTACAACAATGACATGGAACTCAAGTTCACCAATAACAAAGTGGTAAGACTTTTTGTCATGACTTCAGTATCATGGACTTGCTTTCAAATGCTGGGCAGCATTTTTCAGAAAATGTCGCTGGCCTATTAACATGCTTAAAAGCCGGCCCGGAACCATTCAAAAGCAGTGCACAGTGCATGACATTTTGGCTACCTTGACTACCTTGGCTAAGTAAATCGTTTATGTGCTTATCAAATTTGGGCCTGGATCTTAATGGTGTGCTGAAGTAATTTATAATTGGTATGTTTAAGGTACATTTTGGCTGTTGTTGTTATCTCTTTTCACTCAAAAAAATGGTACGTTGAAACTGTTAAGATTCATCAAGGAAAAAAAATCAAACAAATATTCCCCTAAGTGAGGTTTTAATTAACTTCCCATTTCTTTCATTTTAATGTTTCAGTAGTTTCAATAACATCTCAGAAATGTAAACAAATTCTTTAGTGGACTTAAGGAAATTGAGCTTATTTGTCATTTTTCTCTTTGGTTGCTATGTAGAATTTCTCTATTTTGAACTCCACGATGTCCATCGTGAACAGCGTCTTGGACAGTACCCACACCAAGACCGACTTCAAGGTCTCTCTGAGCCGTCACAACAGGGCCCTTGTCTATGACCACCTGATGATCTTCAGTCCAAAGGAGCTGAACACCACTGTTACCATGGGCTATGAAATCACCGAGAAGGTCCTGAGGCCGAGCTTTGAGATCTACAAGGGCTGGTCCTTCATGAGTAAGTAAAGATTGTCATCACTAGTGATCCGAGCATGATATCTGAAGTGAGCAATGTGCATAGTTTCCAATCAACCGAAATTTATTTACATATTTAGGCGAGTTTTTAAAAGAAGAAAACATGCACTGTTTTAACATGACATTCACTGCAAGGAAACAGCACTTTGGTTGCTGATGATGGGGCTTCTAGGCATCTTTTGCGAGTCATTGATAATTTGCACTTTGCCCTTGAGAGCGAAACTGTTCTCTTTAACAAAACTTTCGTGGCTACCCCTTCCACACATCCAGTTGTATTATGCTCAAAAAGTATTTCATGAGTTAAAACATGTTTGAAGATGACTTTGCGATGGTACCTTAAATGCCCCAGTGTCTGTTGATCATGACCCTTTGTAAGATGAATTTTTTTGTTCAATGATCCTCTTCTCCTGCCATAAGGTCTGTATGGTGACAAGGCCTACATAAATGAGAAGACCTCCTACAATGTCTCCACCGAGCTGTGCCTCCGCAACGAGACCCTGGACAGCGAAGAGCCCACGCCCGCCGTCTACATGGCCTACTTGAACGTCAGCCTACCTCGCCCCTACAACGAGGAGCGACTGACTTTCAGCGTGAGCGGACGTGTGGCCAATGAGACTTCCCTGGTTGATAACTACTTCAGCTACTGGAGCCAGTTCAACACTACCGTCCCATCTCTCAAGGTGATTATAAAGTTGCAGGAGAATTTAAATCATGCCTTGTCTTTCGGGTATCTAAGGCTACAGTCTAGTCCCTAACAAGTCCCTGAAAGTCTGTCACCAGGTATCAAGACATAAGCCAATTCATGATCTGTGAATGATCTGTGCAAAGGAAATGTAATGAAAGCATTACTCATCTTTGTATTTGTTGGTGGTTAGGTGGCCAAGCCCGTGAATGCACTTATCAGAGGATTTATCCACCCCAAGCTGAAGTGCACCCACAATCGGCCAAAGAAAGACAGGTGGTTGCTAGCGGGTTCTTGCACTCATTCCGCGTGTACGCAAAGAACATACATGCTGCAATAAATCAGTTACCCGTACTCAAAGTGGACTGCATCAAACATGCATATACTTGCCCACCTCGTGGCATGCCTATGCAGTGAGTACCAAAAAACATGCCCTCTTTTGTTCCACTCGTAGCGGATAGTCAATGGATAAGTGGCAATGGAGAAGTATTTCAGTCATGAAGATATGTATTCTTCCCACAATACGAGACTATCAGTTCTCATCTAGACAATTTTTCCCCTCCAGTTCAAAACAACAACCCAAGGTGCAATCCTGAGTTCCGAGAAGGACTTCATCCTTCACCTGAACGACACCACGATGACTATGGATGAGAGGCCCTTACTGATCTTGGACTCAGATCTTGTCAGCAACATTGACGAAGGAAACTACTATGCCTTCCGCATTCTGACCCCAGTCTACAACTACACCTTCAACGTCACCCTCTTCAAGGATGAGGAGAAGGGTTGGGTACTGGGCTACAATTCCACCCACAACAACACGTACATTGACCTGCTGAACATAACCCAGACTGGTAAGACTTTTGTCCTGTAAAATGTGAAGTTTGTAGGTATCAGCAAATATAAAATGACCGCGGAACTGACGAAACCCCTACCCCCTCAACAAAAGTTTGATTGAGATGTGAGAACAGTTTCAAGACTGACCGGAATAGTAATCATGCTTTTCAACTTAGTTTAAGTTTTGACATATTTGTCGGTTAATAATTAAGATACTCACATTTCTTTTTCTGAAATTCGTACTTCATATTATCGTAATGTAGAAGATGAATTTTTATTTTGTAATATCAGTATGTTCTTATGTAATAAAAATGAATTTGGTTGTAACTGAAATCTATTTGGTCTAACATACTACTCTTCCTCTGTGATGAAATTCATATGTGTAATTTCCTATATATGTTTTGCTTTATATGTAGACACAGTTTTTAAACTTTTAAGTTATCAAACTGTCAAGTTATTTATTACTGTCACTAGAGGTAAGATGTATTTGTAAATTGACTTTGATTAGAAAAATGACTCCCCCAATTTTTTTTTTTGTGATCTACACAGCTAACATGACCTTCAGCCGCGATGCCATGTCCCTGAATGCCATGTTCTATCACCCATGGCTCCAAGCCACCACAACCAACATCTTGACTCCCGGCGGCCCTATCAAGCGATTCCAGCCCGTGCACATCAAGGAGTTTGCCCTAGAGATCTACGAAAGGACCAAAGAGCTCAACTGGGAGCGGCTGCAAGAGATGACGGAGGAGCTTGTGCAGAGAGTTCGTGACTCTCGCCTGGAGATGATCAACATAGTCCGTGCTAAGACACCCAAACTCGCCAACATGACCCTGGACAACTCCTTCATCATTGATGGCAGCATCATGCAGAGCATCTTTGAGATGGAGGTCAACCGCACCATGTGCGGATCCGGTGTGCGGTTGAACACATCTGCCCTGCTGAATGAGGAGGGTTGGAGGAGCGGTCTCACTTACCTGGTCAAGGGCCGTCGTCTCCCAGATGTGTCTGGTAACCACACTGTCAGCATCCTCAAGGTTGATCCAAGCAACCTGGGGGTAGATGTCCAGAACGACTTCTTGTTTGGCTCCCGCTTTGCCAACCTCACTGTCAATGGCGACTTCAAGATCACCCAGATGAACCGACCCTGGAAATTTGAAGCCATCTCTGGTGGGTTGAAGCATAACCTCAGCTCCCCACTGATAAATTCCTCCATGGATTCTGGTGTTAATTTTGACCGCTTTGTCAATTTGACCAACTTTAATGCCATTGAATCTTTCTTGGTGCACAATGTCACCTCCAAGTGGGCCAACTCATCTCTGGTGACTGGCATCAAGTTTGATGACTTCCGGTCTCTCTTCAATTTCAATGATATCACCACTGGGCTGACTCACAGCTTCAACTCAACTTTGACCAACATGACCACCGCTATTGACTTCAACCTGAAAAATGTCCGTTCACTGTTTGAGTTTGAGCGTCTTGATGCTGGGGCTAGGTACAACATGACCTCTCGTTGGTCAAACATCTCCACTGGGGCTGTCTACGTCATGGACAGATTCCGCTCTCCCCTTGACTTCAACCTCGTGGAAGGTAAAGTCCACCACAATATCACGTCTCCATGGTCTGAGATGACCACTGATGGTCTTCTTCAGTTCAGCAACTTCCGTTCTTTGTTCGACTTTGACGGCATCCATGCCTCTGGGGAGAACAAGATGAGTTCCTTCCTGGCCAACTGGACCAATGATGCTGTTGTCGACTTAACAACCTTCCGCTCCCTCTTTGACTTTGACCGCATCATTTTGAGAGCTGGTAACCGCATGAACACCACCTTGATCAATTCAACCAATGTTGGTCGCATGGAGGTAAATGGAGGTCACTCTCTTTTCAACTTTGATGAGATAAGATCCTCCTTGATGCACAACACAAACACTACTTGGGGCAACTGGTCAGCTGGAGTTGGGATGGACCTCATCCGCTTCGAGTCTCTCTTCAAGTTTGAAGATGCTGTGTTTGGAGCTAAGCACGACATGACCTCCCGTTGGTACAACACCACCACCGAGTCAGAGCTGACTTTCCATCAAATGCACTCTCCATTTAACTTCCAGAAGGTGATGGCAGTCATGGAGCACAACACCAACACTTCTCTGGGCAACTGGACAACATACTCCGGCATCTCGCTGAATGAGTTTGATTCTATCTTCCACTTCAAGAGCATCGATGCTGCTGTTGGCCACAAGATCGACTCTCGATATGTCAACTCGACCATTGACTACAGCATGATCCTTGATGATTTCAGGTCCCTCGCTGAGTTCGGCAGTGCCAACAGTGGATTCTCTACTATTCTCAACACGAAGTGGGGCAACATGACCACGAACTCTGGTCTTCAACTGGCCGAGTTCCGTTCCTTGATGGACTTTGACAGGATCACAGCCTTCTTCCACACCTACGTCAACACCAGCATCCTGAATGCCACCCATGTCTTTGACAATGAGATCAGTAACTCCAGAGGTCTGTTTAGCTTCGAACGGGCTACCAGCAAGATAGCCACAAATGTAAGCAGCATTCTGGGACTTATGGAGCTGTACAATGGCATCTCACTGGACAACTTTGAGAGTCTCATCAGGTTTGACAAGATCAACCACACTCTTTCTGCAAATGTGACATCCCGTTACATTAATGCCACCACCTTGAGTAAGCTGATACTCCAGAACTCCTTTGGCATCTTCAACTTTGAAAAGTTTAAATACCGTGGAAACTCCAAGATCCAGTCCCGCTTCATGAATATTACTGAAAATAGGCACATAAAGCTCAACAACTTTTCATCTCTGAGGAGGTTCAAGTCTGCCTCTTTTGAGATGCAATCCAATTTCACAACCCCGTTCACTGGTATGAATGCAACGCAGTTCTACAGTCTTTACAACATGCGTGACATCTTGAGCTTTGAGAAGGCCAATGCCACCATAATCTACGAAGGTGAGGGACCACTTGGGCAGCTTAAATTGAAGCACGACCAGGTGATCGAGAACATGTCTGGTCTCTTTCAAGTGGAATTCACCAACCTGATCCAGGAAGCCAACCTGACTTCTCGCCTATTTAATCTGACCGCAAACCACTCTCAGGTGACAGAACAGATGAACAGCCTGTTCTACTTTGAGCGTATCAATGGCAGTGTCAGCTACAACCTGAGCACCCCACTTGGACACCTGAAGGCCTATGCAAGCTCAGATCTAAAAGATTTCAGGAAGATGTTCAAATTCCGCCTGGTCAATCACACTGGCCTCCTCAATTTCACCAGCCAGTACGCGAACCTGACCCAGATTAGCAACCTTGAGTTCAAAGATTTCCGAAGCCTGTTCAATTTCCATCTAATCAATGGCAGCACCTCTGCTAACTTCTCTTCTCCAGTTGGGCAGGTGGCCACCACTTCTGCTGCTGAATTTAGCGACTTCACAAACCTCTATGAGTTCGTCCTTGTCCGTGTTAACAACACCTTCAATGTCTCCAGTGCTCTGCTAAATGTCACCAGCCTACAAGGCATGGAGATGAACAACTTCAGGAAGATGTTCTCCTTTGAGAGAGTCAATGCATCCAGCCGGGTCAATGTCAGTTCACCTCTGGTGGTTGTCAGCAACGTTGCTGAGATTGGATTCCACAACTTCCTCAGCTTGTTCAACTTTGAGCGTATCAACTTCACCAACAGTGCCAATGCAAGCAGCAGGTATGTGAACGGCACCAGCCTGACAGATGTTGAGCTCAACACCTTCACCAGTATCTTGACCTTCGAGCGCATCATTGCCACCACCAACAACAACCTTAGCACTCCTTTCTTCAACTCCACTGGCTTGGCTGGTATTGAGATGCACAACTTTTCAAGCCTGTTCAATTTCTCTCGCGTCAACGCCAGTGTCCTGGCAGCGCTGAAGAGCAGGTTTGTGAACTCATCTGGTGAGGCCGCCATCGAGTTCCACAACTCCTCCAAGCTGTTCTCCTTTGAGCGAATCAATGCAACTGCCAAGGCTAACATCAGCACACCCATAATCAACACCACAGCCATGGCATACATTGGCTTCCACAACTTCAGCAGTCTCGTGAATTTCTCTCGCATCAACTCCACCATCGAAGCCAACGTGACTAGCCGATTTGCTAACCTTACCACAAGCGGAAGCATAGATCTGAAGAACATGACTGGCATGAACCAGTATGAGCTCCTCAATGGCACCACCCGAGCAAACTTCACTAGCAAACTGTTCAACATGACAGCTGCCACCAACATGGAGATCAGCAACATGACTGGCTTTGCTCGCTTCCTGCGATTTATCAGCAATGTCAGCCTGAACGTGACAAACAAGCTAGCCAACTTGACCACTGTGCTCAACTCTGAAGTCAACAACATGACAGGTGTGATGATGTATGACCGCATGTTGGGAAATGTCAGCCTCAACTTCACCAGCAAATTGGCCAACCTGAGTGCAGGCACAGGCATGGAGGTGAACAACATGACCGGATTGATGGTGTACAACAGAATCTTCACCAATGCCAGCTTGAACTTCACAAGCTGTCTAGCCAAGCTCAACGGCAGTGTGAACATGGAGATCAACAACATGACAGGCTTCAGCAGATTCCAGCACATCATTGCAAATGCCAGCCTCAATGTGACGAGCCGATTTGCCAATTTGACAACTGGTGGCAAAATACTCATCCGCAACATGAGTGGAGTGGGGCAGTTTGACCACATCATGGGAAATGTCAGTCTGAATTTCACCAGCAGGCTGGCTAACGTGTCCACCCTCCACACTATTGAGATGGAAAATTTCACCTCTCTCATCACTTTCAAGAAAATAAATGGCACGAGCCAGCTCAATGTGAGCAGCCTGATTGGTGATGCCATCATAAAGGGAGGCATTGAAGCTCATAACATTACTACCTTGTTGAGCTTTGACCGCATCAATGGTAGCCTGTCCGCAAATGCCGACAGCCTTGTCGCCAACTTGAATGCCTACGGAGAGTTTGGTCTACATGGATTCACTAACCTGACCCACTTTGACAGGGCCAATGCCAGCCTCGTCTGGAATCTGGTCTCTGACTACTTTGCTGCCGGTCAGAATTCCTCCATTACCCTGAACCAGTTCCGCGGGCTGCGTGCTTTCAACAGCATCCTAGGTAACACCTGGATATACCTAAACTCCAACATATACAGCGGTGGCATCCGCACCATCCTGGATGTGGACAATGCGCTGAACTTCTTCCAAGAAGCAGAGATGTTCTCTGACCTCATCTTCTATGGAGACCTGTATCAGTTCATCCTCAGGCAGTCCTCCAACAATGAGCACCTGTTGTTCAATGTGACCATCCCATCCCGTGGTTCCCTCTGCCTAGACAACTACCTCAATGCATTCGGTGATGAGTTCATCATGACTATCTTCCACCAGACCGAGGTAAATTTTAAAGAAGTATTATGATAGAATTAACTGTGCTCAAAACACAAGACAAAAAAGTAGTACGTATTTATGTCAGTACTGCGAGGCAATTGAATGTTATTTTTCATGCTGGTGTCAGAGAATCTGTAATAAAGAACAGTTTATTGCAGAGAATGAATAACATTTGTTAAATAATGAATTTTGCACATGTTCTTGGTCTTGTAGGATGTTAAAACTGTTGACCTGAGTTGGCTTCTGAAACTGAACAACACTGGAGTGATTTACAGCAATGTCAGCTGGAATCCAGAGACTGTCCAAGTCATCAAAGAGTTCACTGAGAACGTCTACCTCGATCTTCTGCAGATAGCCCGTAACGTCAATGAATCCACCCAGATCTACCTTGAAAAGGCTCTCAACCAGACCTATGAAATCCTCAACCAGACCCTTGATATTGCAAACATTATGTTCCGTCTCCTCAACTACACTTACTACCACCCACGTGAAGCCTACGAGACTTTCCGTGAGAGGGAGGAAGTTCAGAAGTTGGAGGAGAAGATGAGGAATTCCATCCAGAAAATTGAGGACTACCTCCAGGAAGTGAATGACACCATCCGAAACATCATCAACAGGATGGACTTCACCACAATTGAAACCACCATTATGACCTTCAAGTCTTTGGAAGAGGTTCACCGGTTCCAGAGGAGACTGAGGGAGGTTTACAACAACTACCGTGAGGCATTCAACAATTACATGGAGAGAGCCCTTGCTAAGGTTGATAACATAGTTGATGAGGTAATTGCGATATCCAAAGATCCAGAAAACCCTATTAATCTTGTGCTCCTGGACTGTCTAGATATGACCATGTATGATATGAGCATCATGAGCCTTGAGTACCGTGACCTTTTGTATGAAAGATCACTGGTTCTAAGCCGCCTGGTTAAAAATGTCACTCTATACTCTGCCGAATGGGCCCTTAATAACACAAAGAACTTCACTGAATGGGCTGTCTACCAAGCTGGTAACTACACTCTCCTAGTATACAACAGCACAGTCAACTTCTCAAAGTGTGCGCTAGAATATGCTTTCAACTACACTGACATAATCGCCAATTACTCTCTGATTGCCCTTGATTATGCCAACTACATCAAGGACTGGGCCGTCAACCAGACGGAACTAATCATGGACGTAAGCAGGCCATATGTCATCTGGATGATCGAATACAGCGAACCTTACAGAGTCAGCGCCGTGCAGTATGCTAAACAGCTTGCCCTAGAAACCGGCAGGAAGGTGGTCATTGTCTTTAGGGAGACTGTTAAGCTGGGCAACATTTCCATCAAATACGCTGAGACTGGTCTCAAAATGGGCAAGCAGTATATCACTGACATATCTCTCTATCTGGAAACAATCAGCAAGGATCCCGAGCACATCATCAACAGGGTGCTCATGGATTATTTCACTAACAGACCCCTCTATGAAATTGCAGCAGAGCATTACAACGTCATCTACACTTCTGCTGAAGGGTGGTACTTGAGGACCAAACAGCTGTACGATGATTACTATGACAGGTTTGAGGAAGTGTATCGCAGATACTACTCCAGAGTTGAGGATATCTACAGTGACTACTACCTGAAGTTGGAGGAGTTCGTCCTGGAGACTATGAACAAACTGGAAACCTTCAGCATGGACGAAGATCATGTTGTCAACACCTATCTGCGCAAATACCTTGACAGGAACCTGTATGAGGTAAGTTTCATTAGTAATGATGCCCCCGTCATGTACCTGCTTCAAATGAATTCTGTTACTGTTGCTAAAAACTAGATTATTGGAATTATTTTATATGGTCAAAATCAAAGAGGAAAAATGTATCTTTTGCTTTGTCTGTAATAGGTTTATGTATTGGCTGAGACTAAAATGGTTTCCCTGAAGACAGAAGCCCTGGCTATGAAAACTGAGTTTCTGCAGTGGTTGAGGAGGGTTCGCACACAGCCTCTGGAAGTGACCAGGGAGGAGGTCAAACTGTTCTTCGAAGAGAAATATGAGGAGGTCAAGCTCCTGATTGAGGAATTCATGGCAAGTGAAGATGTAGTGAAAGCCTTGGAGAAGGTCAAGATATCTTTGCGTTGGCTGAACCAGACCCGTTTCCAGCCCATAGAGGAGACAATCGAGGAGGTGAAGGTCTTCATGGGAGAGACACGTGAGCTAGTACTCAACCTCACTGAGGAGCTCAAGCAGAGTGAAGTATATGGGCAGATTGTGGAAATGGTGAGCAACTTCATGGATCGAGAAGATGTCAGCAGGGCCCTGGATGTTATCAAGAAAACCCTGCAGTGGGCCAACCAGACCCGCTTCCAGCCCCTTGACGACACGATTGAGCAAGCCAAATTCGTCCTGGAAGAGAATTACAACATTGTCAAGGGAATGATTCTCACCTTCCCTGTTGAATCCAATGTCCGGAAGGTAGTTGAGATTATCAAGATCTGGGCCAATGACACTGAAGTACTTCTGGTCCGCACCTACAACATCACCAAAGAGACCTACTACCTTCTCAAGGACCTTGCTGAGGAGAACTACCTCCTTGTCAAGGAGTACACTCTTGAGCAGTGGCACTACCTGAAGGAGGAGACCCCTTATGTGGAGAAGGCCAAGGAACTCCTTGAGAAGACAAGGGTGTTTGTTGAGGACAAGATTAGTATCACCAAGGAGTATGCTGGGCTTGTGAAAAATTTCACAGTCAATGTGGCCAAGGATGCCATCACCTATGTCAATGGCACCATGGCAGGTATGTGCATTTTTAATGGAAAGATTATTTCTGTAATGCAATAATGAACTACGTTTAGCCAGTTTTTCTTGCTTCCATATCATTTTACCTGTTGAATTTTACAATTTTTTTACAGGTTGGATCTACCGTTACTATGAGCTTGACCAGCTGCCATTCCGTGCCTTTGACCGGTACATGGTATTTGTCTATGACACTCCAGAAATGGTCGGGTACATCGTGCGTATTGTGGTTGAAGAGATCCCGTTCATCGTAGACAGCAGCCTGATGGTCATAGACAATGGCTTGAACACCGTGGGCCGAGTGGGCAAGCACAGCTATGCCATGAACATTAGCCACCCAATTGTGTGGGCCAGCTTCCGCCAGATGCCCACCTTGACCGAGGAGCAGTGGCGTATCATCAATGAGACCGCATACCTGATTGACAGCAACATCATCGAGCCATCCATCATCAAGATCAAGGAGTGGCTTCAAATTGCAAATAAGACACAGAAGGAGATCCGCATCTACATCCAGGTGAGTCAAAATTGAAAAAAAGTCATAGATTTCCTGTGCCTAAAGAGGAAAGTGTCATTTTAGAGACACTGTTTTTCTCATGTTTGTTTAGTTTTTGAGTGTAGAAGAGGGGAAGATACAATTATCTTTAGGAGATAAATAGCAATACATTGTTACCGAAATTCCATTGCCTGAAGATAATTTGTGCTGAGAAAGAACCCAGGGTATGTTTGAAAAGGCCAATGTTTTTTCGTGTGTGGTAATTGTTTTTGTTATTTCAGATATATTTTCCGATAAGAATTTAGGGAAAAAGACAAGTTGCTCTTTGATTGAAAACAAAATTGATTTCGATTTTTCAGGAGGTGTATGAAGTCAACAAACCAATTGTAGAGAGGCGTCTTGAGGAGCTGAAGCAGAAGATCCTGGAGCTGAAGCACAACATCACCGAAGAGTACAAGAAGCTGCCAACCCTGGAGCAGCTCAGGGACTTTGACCAGCTGGCTGAGAAGTACCCCGTCCTCCTGGAGATCAAGGCCAACCTGACGGAGCTGAAGAACAAGATCGAGGAGCGGATCCCAACCATGGAGGAGCTGCGGGGCAACTGGACCCAGCTATGGGAAACCATCAGGAGCTACATCCCCACCCTGGAGGAGGTCCAAGGCAACTTGACCATTCTGCAGCAGAAGATCGAGGAGGGATGGACAGTGCTGAGAGATGACGTGGAGGACAAGTGGACCCTGTGGGAGGGCTATATCCAGGGCAACTACACCTTACTAAAGGACACCATCACCGAGAAGTACCCCATCTGGAAGGAGAACACCATTGAGTTCCTGACAAATGTTACCGATAAGGTGAGCATTAGATAAACTTTCGGTAGATCTGTAGAGGGTAGCTTTTTGGAAAAAAAGAAACTTGTCTCACAAACTAAAACACAAGTCCCCATTTGTTTCGGAGTAAAACGCAAAGTGTCTTAATTCTTTTTCAATAGGTGCAAGAGATCTATGAACTTGTATTGACTGAATACCCCAATGCTCGTGAGCATGCCATGCGCTTCATTGAGTACATGAAGAACAAGACGATGGAGCTTCGTGACGACATCCCCATCCTCTTCGAGAAGACCAAAGAACTGGCTTGGGAGTACTACGACTTTGTCCTTGCCCAGTACCCATTGTATCTTGAGAAGATCAATGTCACCGCTCAAGAATGGATTGAGTACATCCGCGAGCAGTACCCGATTTACATGGAGAAAGCTAATGAGCTCATCCAGGAATGGATCGGCTTTGTTGAGGAGAGGTACCCTACCTATGTGCAGAAACTGAGGGACTGGGTTGAGGAAATCCGCAACATGATCGAGACTGAGTATCCTCAGTACCGTGAGAAGATCGAACAAGGTATTGAGAAGATCAAGGACTTCTTTGAGTACCTGAAACGCCTTCCTAGGCTGATCCCCTCAGACAAGATTTTGGCTCTGAGATACTACCGCCCATTCAGTTCTGAGGGTAAGCAGACCTTTTCATTTTAAATGACAAATATTGCTTTGGTACTTTGACACACTTTTTAATTAGCTCTGTTGGCTTTTGTACACCTCTGTGAACACTTTTCGAAAATATCTAGCACTTGTGGTGTGCTGCCTTATTTCATAAGATTCAAGCTGTGACTTGGAGAACTTACACATCCGTATTTGAGCAGAATAATCAGATTGTTTACTAAAGTTCTGTTCATGAGGTTGATGCTCGCTCCAAAGCAAAGCCTTTATGATGACGGTGATGTTGTTTTGCAATCTTGATGAAACTTCAAATTCTTAATGGTGCCTTTTGCTCCTCATATTTCGTTACAGCTATTGCCATGATATTTGAAGATCTCCACATTTTGACCTTCGACCACCACCTGTATGAGCATCCTGGCTACATTGATCCTGAATGCACGTACGTCCTGGCCACTGACTACATCGATAACAACTTCACCTTGTTCCGCAACCAGTACAACATGTTCCTGGCCCTCAAGGGAGACCACGTAAAGATTGGACGAAACAACGATGTCTACTTCAATGGTGAGGTCCTTCCAAAGAACATCCCCTTCCTGTCAAAGGACAAGACGCTGAAGGTTGTGTACGACTTGCCATGGGTAAATGTTACCTCCATGTATGGTATTAAGGTCTCCTGCAACTCAGAGCGCCCTCTCTGTACCATCTCCCTCAGCTCGTGGTACCACGGCAAGACCCGTGGCCTCCTGGGCAACCTGGACCGCGAGGCCCGGACCGACCGCATCAAGCCCAATGGGGAGAATGCCACCGACCTGGTCGACTTTATCAATGCATACGAGACCACCGACCGTAGTCAATGCCAGATCAGCCGCTTCAACTACCCAGTCCACAACATCCTGGGCTGCAACGAGGAGAACCGCAACATCCTGACGGAGCAGTGCACTGAGTTCTTTGACAATGTCAACTCACCGCTGCAGCCAGCGTTTGAGAAGCTCAGCCCCACGGAATGGAGAAACGAATGCATCAACCACGCAGAAGAGTGCCATGATATCTGTGCACTGACTTTTGGTTATGTCTCGCTTGCTCGCTCCAAGGACATTGGCATCATTGATCCTTGTGGTAAGGAATACTTTTTAGTTTTGTCATTCTTCAAAATTTCTGTCTACTAGTTCCAAACAGTCAGTTCATGAGCATGTGATTATGGATATTTTCAAATTTTTTCAAATGTGGAAAAGTAATTTGAGTGATAAGTGCTAATACTGCGTTTGTGTTTTACGTATCCTTTTCACAGAGCAATGCGATGACCGCCCAAGGAACTCCGTGTGGATTGAGAACAAGATCATCTACGGCGCCGACATCATATTCACGGTCTCCGAAAACATGCGCTTCCGTGGCCAGGAGTTTCTGAACAACCTGAAGGTCCTACTTTCTAACCTGGAGAGCACCCTGATTGGGTCCCCGATGACCAATAACCGCTATGGCCTGGCAGCTTATGGTGGCATTGATGTCCATGAGGGGGCCCACAGCCACTCTATCCATGGCCAGCTGATCAACACAGCTGCCAGGATGCCTGAGGGCCTGGACGGCCTGGAGTTCAACGGCACCTACCCAACAGATGCCTTTGATGCCATCAAGCTGGCTTCTGACTACAAGTTCCGCCCAGGAGCTGCCAAGGTCATCATTCTCATCGCTGAGAGCGAGCGCTTGGTAAGAACCAACTCTCCTATACACACTGCTCTTCTGTTAATTATTTTCTTAATTAGTTCAACCAAGATCTTCTAGCTTCTTTTATTCACTTTTATTTTTTAAGTGACTCATTAAAATAACCTTCTTGAAGAGCATGAACCCCTCGGAGCTTGACCAAGAGATGGTGCCATGTTCTAGTAACAGAGACTCCTTTGGTGGGAACTGCACTTCACTGGTTCACAAATGGCAATGACATGCAGGCGTTAAAGTTGCGTCGCTGCCGACAAAATGAATACTTCCTACCAACATGGCTCTTTTCACCTGATAAGGGGGTGCTTCTGCTCAAGGCAGATACCACAATGTTCTCATCTGCTGCATGGCAAGATGTGTGAAAAACAAGACCCAATGCATATCTGCCAGGCACATGATGATAAGTAATGACTGAAACAATTGTAAGAAAATGCACTATTTAAACGTGAACCATTCTGTTGGCACGCTTGCTAATTTTTCAGTTTTCCAGTACCAAGCTTTCATAAACCATTCCTTCTGTTTTCTTTACAGTACGAGGACTCCAAGTACAACTTGACAAGTATCCAGGAGTTCCTGACCCGCCGCGGCATCACGCTGTACGTCGTCTCCAACTACGAGTCCCTGCAGAAGTCCTACTCAGGCGCACCAGTGGGAATCCGGTATGACAAAACCATCATCTCCACCAAGAAGAGCAAGGACGCCAAGATCACTAAGTTCCTGGACATCCCCAGCGGCAACTATGCCAAGCTGGCTATCGCCACACGCGGTGAGTCATCTTGAAATGACACCCACTTTCTAGCTGTGAATGCAAAAGCTTTAACACGGGCCTTGCTATGTTTTTGTGATAAGCAAACCAGACGGAGATATGATATACACTTTCGTCATTCTTGAAGTTGAAATTCCAATTCCAATTCCACATTATGTCTTGGCTGGTTGTGGTAAACCCATTTCTGCTGGAAAAGTCTATGTTCTGCCCTTGGCTTATTCCTGAGCTCAGCAACCGTCTAAATTAAACCTGAAGTCAGGATGTATTGTGCGTTTGCAACCAGTTTTCACCAGAATGCACACAAATATAACATATCCTTAACAGAGCATGTGTGCATGAGGTGACACTCAAGTGCCCCCATTAAAAATGAAAAGAGTCAAAGTTGTTATGTGCAGAGATGGGGTACTATGCACCTTTGAGAATAACCATGACTTTCATCAGTATAAGCCAGAAAGAATAAGAGTGGAATGCCTGTAAGTTTGGACTATCTTAATCCTGACTTTGGTTTTAATTTTTTCTTACTACAACCACAATCAGGTTCCATCTTCCGCCTGGACATGCTGATGGATGGAGACAAAGCCCTGATGACGACGCTCCCAAAGATCGTCCGCAACGATGCCAATCCGATTATGGCCGGAGAGGTGGAGCGCGAGTGTACGTGCCTCATCAACCAGTACGGTTTGGCGAGGGTCGAGTGCCGGAACATCTGGAACTAAACTCAACTTCACACAAAAGTAACCTCTGAACCTTACCAACAACCAGTGTAAAAATGAAGGGTTTCTGCAATTAAGAGTTAAGAACAGGTGCTGCATAGAAAAAGAACATTTGTAGTTACACAAAGATGTGGGCATCAGATTTTCAGAATAAGGAACTGTTGTAAAAAAAAGAGAAACGCCTTCATTTTTTAAAATTTGGGAATATTAATTGCCGTCGACTGTTCAGTAAACATCCACATAACCTTTTTGAAAAAAAATTTCTAATTTTGTGATTCATGTATTGATGCCAAGTTTATTTAAGTTGCGTTGTGTTTTTATCTTCTTTAGGCAAGGTATCCATTATTATATTAACTCCATTCTTAAACACATCAATTTTGACTTGAGTTTTGACTTGAAACTTACCATTGTGTGATCTCGGTTTAACTTTAGTTCACTTTTTACTCATAGTCAGCACAGTACTGTTTATCCGCAAGTAGACTTAGGAAACTGCCGGAAAAAAAATGGGAAAAAAAACCAGAAAAAAAACATGCCTTTCCATCTGTCGTAGGAAATAGCTGTAGACATTGGGATCAGGATGTGTTCTATTACACATTGAGTTCTTGGATTGCCTTGCCTTACAAATTCACTATCAATGCAATTAGACGTTTTTTTGAACTAGAAGAGGAAATTATCGGAGAACTAATCAAAGACAAGTTTAAATAAATTTGTTGCAAGCATTAATTGGACTTTTAACCCCTTTTTCTATTTTTCTTTGTACTCTGTGACACAAGTAGCTATTTAAGTTTTAAAAAAAAGGAAAACAAAAAAGGAGCAATTTCAATTCAATAAAAGTTTATTTCCTTGCAAGCTGAAACTCTTGCGGATGTTGGAATATGACTGTTTCGGTTCTTCTACACTGGATAAAAGGTAAAATAACCAGAAAAAGGATGCCTTTAGGTAATTACAGGATGTTGAAATTTCTCTCGTCCCTTTTACCAGTTCTGAACATGCTTGCCCTGTTCTGAGAATGCCTGCAATAGTCATGAGCATGTGCAACACCGTGAAAAAGGACCGGTGATGGGTATATATCTGCTGCCACCAGCATTTCAGTTTTTATCAATCTGCCCGCCCATCCGCACCCTGCTTGTTCTCAGCAGACATTTTACAATGAAAATATTCAAGTCAGAATTGGAGATTTCAAACCAATGCAAACAGCTAAAATAACAACATCTAAAATACCAGGGTGAGGGCAGTGATTCAAGTGCACTACTCAATCACAGATGCTCTAAATCTTCAAACCTTGAAGAACTCCTTCAACCAATATACATTAAAACAACTACGTACTTTTTAAAACTTGCAATATAGAAAATCTCTTTAAAATTCAAATTTATGATTTGTTCCACTCTCTACACACAAACTCTCTGTCACGCAAACTAAATAAAATAAATTATATTTAAATTTACTTTAGGAGTTCAGATAATCCTAGGACAATAGTAAAAATGCACACACACTCTTTTAATTATGGATAAAAGCAATTTCACCCAAAATGAATAAATGCACACACTATTTTACTCCATACAGGTTTTTAGAGTGAAAAAAAAATTAAGGCCTTGGCATTGTCTTTATTTGGTTATTGCATTTAACTAAAAACTCAATCCTCGTACATTTTTAATCCTCTTCATCAAACACAGCATCCCTTCTTGAAAAAATTCCTGCTTTGAAATACGAAGAGGTTCCAAAAAACCCAGTCATCAGAAATTTGTTGAAATAAAAGAGGAGGAAAAAGCAGTACAGGAAATACACCAATTTTTCAGGTAAAGGGAAATTCAGGACTCGTGGGGGAAAAAATGGTAAAGACTTCTTGGGAAATGTTGATTCTTTCCACTCATGTACCCTCCCGAGTAAATCTTGACGTCTTGGTCAGAAGTGGTCTCTGGTTGTGATGGGTGTACATGGGATTGATCAGACGGCTCACGTCTCGGCAGAAGAATGCAGGGTTGGAGGACGGGGTCATGAGGAGAGGCTCTGTCGCAAAGAAACCAAAAAGGGACGCTGGTATGACAAATACATGTCTGCAGGTGTCACTTTCCCCTATCCATGCTTTGGCTTCAGTATCGAGGCTTTAGGCTTGTGGGCATCACCGGGATTTAATCTGGGGGATGGGAGGGGCAAAGCACCCATTAGCAGCTGATGGACAGACCATTAGTGGTGGAATGGATCAATTCGAGGTATGTTTGATGGGTTTCATCCCCTTTCCTACAATTGCTGGTTTCTTTTGTTATTCTCCCCCCCCTATTTACAAAGTATTTTTCACAAGTTTGCAGGGGGACGGGGTTCAAGTGCCCCCTTCCCCTCCCTCGATGCCCATGGGGTTGGGAAGTGAGACTGCAACACAGAGGCTTTTCTTTCTCATCTGAAATGGTTCTGTGGAACAACACGCCATATGCTAATTTCATGACAATTCTACCTGCTATCTAATACAAGTAATCTAGGCTATAGAAGGCTCAGACTACTGGTCAACACGGGATCTGAGTTCTCTTTCTGCTATTTGTTTCTATCAAATACATCCATATTCAAACATTGTGAATAAATGTGGGCACTTTTGAGCTATGTTTGCAGACTGAGATCAGCGCTTCTAAACTGGGCAATAGACTACAACCGAGCAAAAATGCCATCTAGCTACCACAACAGTTTCTGAATATGTGTCAACAGCTGATGCAAAAAGCCAATTCCAGTTGCTCCCTTTCTTCTTAATTTCTTCTGCATCTCACAAAAATGAAATCATTCAACGACCACTATCCCTTCGTCCCTAACTTCCAAACCTCGGACAAAAAACCCCAATAAGTTCCAGCAAAGTAATTCCAAACATGCTAAACAATCACCAATAAGTGATACCACTATCCAAAGACATCAATTCAAAGCATTCAACCCTAATAATGTTGTAAATGTTAAGGTGCTTTGAAAAAACTCCGGCACACTTTCCAAACAAATCATCCATGCCCGCTGTGAAAAAAAGTACAATGCAAATAGCAACTGTTACATCTCTATTAGTTTTAATAAATGGTATTAGCAAAAACACATGCAACAAAGCCCACTTCGTGCACATGGTTTCCAAATGAAAATGCCTGTGATGAGGTGGAGCTTTCAAATCAAACAAGGGGAAATCCGTGCATGAAAATCAGAAATGTTAGGTTAATGATAAATCATGTTGCAAATTTTGATATCAAACAGTTCAACAATCCAACGTAATACTTACCTTGAAGACTGTAAAGTTAGTAATCTCACAAATACCGTAATTGCCAGTAACCTTTAAGCACAGTTTGATGCAGGTCAAATGGCACATATTGCACCATATGATTATTTTCACTGTCATTCAAGTTACGTGTAATGACTTCATTGAGTTGATGACATTAGATTCAGTAAAAATGTATGAAAGTGAACTTTGTTTGGCAAAAGCTTGCAATGAGTGAAAGGCACGCAGCTTATATTGTCAGCTGAAATTTGTCAGACAACATTATCAGCAACATCAAATATCCGCAACTAAAACTCAGAGTGTTAGCGTTTAGAATCAGCACTGCAGTCCAGCACACTAATTACCGTCGGCCGAGAAATAAGCTTGCGGGATGTTAACATGGGTTGGATGCATCACTTGATTTGCATGCTCAGTGGCGAAGGTGGCCTGTGTGGGCCACCGTAGGGTGGGGTCATGGACCTCTGGACAGGTTTAGAGTGGAAGTTATGCTGGCGAGCCTGGCGGAGGTAGTCCGGTTCCAGGTCAGTCAATGGGAAGTTCAAATCAGTGGAGGCAGGTGACGGGGGAGGCTGGTGAGAGACTTTGAGAGTTGCAAGGGGGGAATGTGGTAACACCAAATCTTACTGGTAATGAATTATGCATATGGTTGTTAATAACAAAGGAGACCATGAATTATGCATGTGCCAGCAGGCGAGCTTTTACGACTTCTTGTTAACTTCATACATTTTCATAACATTAAAACCATCATTACAGCATATTGTGCCATTGACAGTTTTATGGGCTTTCGAAAGGTTGAACATTTCAATATCCAGCAAGACAATTTGAAACTTACTTGAAAATTCAGTCTCATTTGAAGGGAGGTCTTTACCAATAAAGTAAGCACTAAATGTGTGACAAACCTAACAGAAAAATACTTACAAGTTGCTACAGCCATTTCTGAGTAAATATTACAGGGTAGATCTAAATAGAAATTGTTGACACTTTCACCAACATAATTATAACGTGCATTGTCATCAGGCTATCAAACTGAGTTACACATCAAAAAGGCACTTGGTTTGTTTTTTCAAAAGCAAACTAAAGAAGGATAACTAGAGGTGTGGGTGAAACACTAGCCTCTCACGACAGTGGCCCGGGTTCGATTCCCAGCCTGGGTTAAATGTGAACACAGACTTGTTCCTTGGTTCACTCCGGAGCCATGAGGGCATTCTCTCCGGGTTCACCAGTTTTTCACCCTCTGTAAAAATATCGACCCTCTCTGGACCTCTGGGAATTGCACTGTCGTACGTCAGACATGGGTCATAAAGCAACAGCATAAGGCTTCTTTATGGCTGGAACCCTTTACAAAGTGAGGATGATTACCTCTCAAGTAAATCAACTAAAAATTATTGTAAGACCCACTTGTTTGGATCTTTTCATATCACATTATGCTGGGGCACCACCTATGCTTCATCACATACCTGTGTATGCTGAAGACCCTTCCCTGGACATGCCGGCAGACTTTATCATTCTTCGGTTGTTCTGTCTTGGTGGAGTCCTGCTTGTGAAAAAAAAAAAATGACACACATATTGGTATCTGTGTCAGTGAGAAACGGTTCATCAGCTTCATGGCAGCACATTTTCACAGCTGCATTTCCAATGAATTGAACAAAAATGAGTGATGATTGCTTACAAGAGGAACAATCTTCCTGGGCCAAATGGTCTTTGCAAGTTGGCAAACTTTGGTAATTGAAAAGAGGCAAAAGCTGGGTATTCACACTATGACATGTGACATCACTCTCGGCAGTTCTATTCCAGAATATGAATAAAAAGATACTGGGTTTATACATCTAGGGAGGGTGCATTTTCCAACCAAAGCTATCATGCTTTTAAATGTACATGTAAACACCCTTCCCTCTAGGCACTACCTGTGACTAAAATTCACTCCAAGCCGACACCTTCCATTACCAGTCAACGCCAGAGGACGAGTGCACCAGCGGAAAGTTTCAAAGACAGTTTTGTGAGGATTCCTAGCACGCTCGGCAGGTTTAAAATCTGTTTAAGAATCTTACAAGATTTCCCCGAGTCTACGACGGAGGGCACGAACAGATGTTTCATGCCCTAGTGTTTTTTGTATGCACATGTCTAGCAAGTCGGTGGGACAGACCATGTGTTCTACCAAGTTTGGCCTATCAGAGTGAGTATTGCTCCGTGGTATTTTCAAGGGGCGTTGCAAAAGATGCATTAAATTGACAAGTGTCCGAAAAATGTTGTACAGTGGACTTCCTGGGGAATCAGCAGTTTTGTCGTGTTTGATTTCATTTTGAGACTTGGCTGGCACATCTTGTCTTTTTCAAAAGTTGTGCTTTCTGGCCGTGCTCGGGTGAGTTCCTTGTGAAAAAAAGTGCCAACTTGAAGCGGTTCCGTCTTTAAGTACCTGACCACTCACCTTGACCGGTTTGGCCCCACTGACTGGGGACGTCTGCCGGTCATCCCTTCCATCCATCCCGGGGTGTGGTGAACCTTCATCTTATTGGTCAGCCTCTCAATGCGGTGGACGTTCAGGCCGCCAGCTAGCCAATCAGTGCCCTGCTGGACCAGCACTGGACTCCCTGAGGGCTCACGATAGCGCCCTCGTGTGGGCGTAGAAGAACGTGATGCTTATAAATAAAGAAATTAAGAAAATCATCCCCAATTTCACTTGATTATAAAGTTTTGTGCCTATAGCACAATTAAAGAGTAATTATGTTACCCCATGCAGTAAAGGAGATTAACCGCAGCTGTCAAGGGGAAACTCATTTCTGTTCAAATACTAGGGAAGCACATGTACACGCAGCAGTGTATCAATAGAGTTTATTAGACGCCACAAACCTTTATCTCCAAAGTCTACTTTTACCCACGATAATATGACAAAAGTCAGGCAAACTGGGAAGTGAAAAGAATACCAAAGAAACTCAAAGCTGTACAAGGGTTTTGTGCAGTGCTTGCCCAATCTCTTCGTTATGGCATTCAGTACACTGCACTGGGCGTATGTACCGATGATATCACACTGTTTACATGTGCACTTTTAATTTCCTATGGAGCCAGTGGGGGCCCACGGTCCACGGAGGACCGCAGGAGAGCACGTACATTAACGACTTGTGATGTCATCAGAACAGAGGTCTATGAAACGTTAACACTCTCAATGGGGATGGGGAATTCTGTGGAGAGAGAAGTTGCGTTCACATTCTCATACACATTTCACAAGGTTTGAAAACGTTTTTCCCTCTTGAGCAAAAAGGCGTGAATATGTCTTCTCGCTTGTGCGAAAAGGTGTGCAGATATTTATCCACTCGTGCAAACAGGCGTGAAAGTGTTTTCATACTTCTGAAAAGGTGCACAAAATAGTTTTTCCACTTGTATGAAAATGGTTTCCCCATTGTGGAAAATTGGAGTGAAAATGAATTTGTTGAAAAGAGTAAAGAGTGTGAAAAGAATTTCGCACTCCAAGGTTAACTTTCAATGGCAATGTACTTTAGTAACAACATGATAGGCTGTATTTAAGTTGCAAGCCGCTTTAATGTCACGAAAATAAACTGACTTTTTAACGCAAAGATTCCACATGAAAACAGAGCGATAAACATGACACGCATGAGGCTTCGGAGGAATAACTGGTGAACAACCTTTGACCTTGCATTTAACATGTTTGTCCAATGAGGGCGCACTAACAATAACTTGGCTACTACAGTACTATACATGTGAGGAACCCAGCTGATCTGAGGAAAAGAGCAAACTGTCAAATAAAATGGTTCTAAAATACTCCTGTATCAAGTTTCTGTATCACAATGCTTTTGAACATGTTATGCTTCAATGCATCTAAGAGACTGAAAGCATACACACAGAACGTTCACTGGCATTTATTGTAGCTGCCCAAAGTTGAGAACTCTCTGAGGAAAAAGAAATGAGTTGGTGAGTAACCCAATGAGCTTCAAGTCAAGGATGGAGGATGGATCAGTCTCGGAGACCCACACTCACCTGGTCCTATGCTCTTTGAGGACTGTGGTCTTGTGACTGATGTCCTCTTCCACTCCTCGGTCCGGGTGACTTGATATTCGGACAGCATCTCGCTCTCCGGTCGCAGGTCGACTTCAATGGTGTGGGATCGCGTGCTGCTGACGGAGACGTCACTGACCACCGACCTGCAATGGTTTCATCCCAGCTTTGTAGTTCCTCAATTTAGCCAAGTCTTAATTTAGTCAGCAATCATTGGCCAACCACTGATCAATGTTGCCTGGTACCCATGATATACCAGGAAGGGGTTAACGTTCAAACTTCATTAGTGTTTACTGGATAAATGGTCACCATTTAAACTTTGTCCATGAGGATGACAGGTGAAATGCAACTTGACTCAATCTGATACTTACATCCAACTTCAGTTCAATGATCCAGTGACCATTAGGCAATCACTTGTTAATTTTTTTCCAATACCCAACAAATATTGTGCTGCGGTTACCAGGTAGACTGACCAGTGAATGGCAAATGGTCACCAATCGAACTTGGCTGAAGGTGGCAAAAAGTGTGTTGTGACTAGCCACTCAGTTGCAGGCTGCATCCAAATCTGCGATCTAGAGCTGGGTCTAGCTGAGGCGCACTGACAACAGATGAAGCTGTTGCCCGTATCAGAAAGCTTTCAAGCAGAAACCATTGTTCTGCAAGTAAGTGAGCTGAGCAAAATGAGCAGAGAACAGTCTTTAGTAATATACTTTGCACTATACTTTGTCCGGTGACCAGTGTCTGCTAAGCATGAATTTCCTCTGCTTAGCAATTTTAGAGCTCAGTAGCACTTTGCCAAATTGGCATCTGGCTAAAATTGAAATCTGACCTGCTGGACTCGGCAAACAATCTTCAAATATAGAGATTGGCAGGCACGTGATGCACACCGCCTGACCGGCGCACTGCGAGCCAGTGCTTTATCACCCATATAAGACTGGCCACATGATGGGCTCTCGACCAGTAGCAATGGCTGAACTGTCGGAGGTATTTATGAATGACTACACTTCCTGAGAAGAAAGTTTTAGTGATGGCATTCTTACTTGGCAGATGTTGCTCTTGGCTGTCCAGTGGCCATCTTGGGTTTCACGGCAGTTTCTCTGTATAACAAAACAATGAATGCATCAAAATTCTAAGAAACCTTTTTTCAACTTTATAACCTTGGAATAACATGACATTTACATTTGATTTCAACATTTTGCAGGGTCCCTCCACCTTTACAGCGATGCAATACTGTGATTTTTCCCATGACGTTTCATTGACCAAGCTGTGAAGCTCCACAACCTAGTCCATCAAAATATTAAATCTGAACCAAAAAAACCTGTTCTGTGAAATGGGCTCCACATAAAAAAACATCAAGATTACAAAAATGATTTGACAACAAAATTTGTCACATTTTGGGGAGCAGATTTTCCAATGCTAAATTGTGAATGTACAAAATCTATAATTTAAAGCACGTCAGTTGCCAAAGATAACATGACTTGTGTGGGACTTCTGTCAATTTTAAAAACCTTCCAAGGCTTTTCTAGACCTTGAAATTGGAAATAAAATAAAGAAGTTTTGTCTCAGTTTTTTTCCAGGACACCGGAACCCTGATTTCCAATCAAACTGACCCCAAGTCAGCCTGCTGGGCCAAATTTTCTCCCAGCGACTCAAAGCTGTTTCTCCTTGTGGTTGATGCCGTCTGCGAGTTAGCCTCGGACACGTCCTCCAGGATGTGATCATCAATGGCTCTCTCCGTCAACCCACTTGATTAAAAAAAAAAAAGAAAGAAGGGATTACAGATATCTAAAATCAAAAGAAGAAGAAAAAGAGACATCCGGATTTCTTACACCACCAGTTTACATATTTAAACTGACCTCAAGGAGCAAGCAGACGAAGGCTGTTCCTCTCTCCTGCTTGTCCTTTCCTTCTTCACTTCCTGCTCCCTTTTCTCGGCGTCCGTCCCTGGGCTCACACCCTCGTTATTCGACTTAACCACCTCCATGGCACACTTCACACACTCATACAGCACGCCCTCTGGAGGCTCCATGCTGACGGGGGACTGCACTGGGCCTCTTTCTTTGGGCTGGGAGGGTTGGTCTCTCGCTTGGGAGGGGATGGGAGTGGGGACATTGAGGTCTACTACGTTGATCTGCGGAGTGAGTCTCAGGCGTTCACGTAGGAGGACCGACACAGAGCGAGGCAAATCTTCAGTCTGATAATTATCCCGAAAAAAAGTGAACAAAAGTCAACATAAAAGAAATGAAATCTATTTTTTCAATAATGGGCCCATTTATAGAATGAGAACTATTTGTGTGTAGATCTAGATTAATTTCTTGGGAGGTTTCAAGTGGCAAGATGGAATAGTTGAAATTACAGAGTTGAAACGCTCTGCTGCATCCTCAGGTATTCGATGGTCTAGACACACTGATCATTGTACAAGACTTCCACTTTCACTTTGCTACATCAAAAACATAATTTGTTTGCTGTGGTTTATTCCAGCCTCTGAACAGTGAAGGCTCTAAAGTTGAGGTGCAAAATTTACTTGCACTCACACTGAAAGTGATTTAAGTGCTATTTTCGATTCTGAACGTTCCTGGTAGCCTTTTTCCCCTATTGGATTATCAGCAATTGGGTCCCCTACATTATTTCTGCTCTTTATTGACAAGTTGATTGGACATTCTGAATGCTCACCAACAGAAGGGTGGACTACCACTGAAGCAGCCTGACAACAGTGTGCATCACTTCAGACTAATCACCTTCTCTGTGACATCATTAGGTACTATCCTGTAAGTTCCACTCACCTCGCCTGCTGGTGAAGGGGGCAGTTGTGGGTCTTCTCTAGGGCTGTGAGGGGGCGTATTCCCTGTTCTGGGGCTGGCGGGTGGGTTGGCCGGAGGTAATTCATCAATATTCTGGATCGTAATCCTACGGAATATTTTGATCCACAGTTTATCTATCAGTTTCCCATTAATATAAACAAAAGAAGATAAGCAAAAAAGAACCAAAAAACAACCCAACCCAACTTAACCCAACTCAACTAAACCCAACTCAACCCTAGCCAACCTAACCCAACCCAACCCAACTCAACCTTACCCAACCCAACTGTACACAACTCAACCTTACCCTACCCAACCTAACCCAACACAACCCAACTCAACTGAACACAACCCAACCCAACCCACTCAACACAACCCAACCCAATACAACCCAACTCAACCCAACCCACCCAAACCCCAAAAACCAACATAAATACTTCTGACAGAAAAAACCTATATAAACTGAACTTTTGTGGAAATAAAAAAAAACCTTTTTAAAGGGCCCAAGGCCAATTAGAAAAAAATCCTCACCTTCAACCCAACTTGTTTTTTCAGTGCATTATGTTGTCCTTTCCGGGTATAAATCTTAATATAATACATCCCAATGCAAGGGATACTAGAGAAATTCTCAAGTCCAGACAAACTGCTCATCATTTTTACTCAAATACACCGTTCCAGAATTAAGAACCCACCGGTCGCCAATGGTTCCAACTGGTTTCCAGTACTGATACTGCGCATCCCAAGTCACTTCTGCCATGTCAATGTAGCAGTAGTTCTGGTCCACATCACCGGTACTCGTCACCACTGACCCATTGGGTGCTACAACCACGGGTCAAAGGTCAAAGCACAGAATGAGTAATAAGCGGCAAAGTCAAAGTTCATTACGTATCCCAACAGTTTTAGCCTTTTGTTCAAGCAAGCGTGACCTGCTAGTCATTCAACTCAAATTTGTCATGAGCATAATTATTTCAGTGTATAAAGAAACATTCTGTTAGGTGATAGAGGTAATGTTTTTAGCTATTTTTTGCTAAATTACATGTGGCAAGATCCTGTAAGAACCCGTTAGGGTACTGTGCATGTATTAGAAAGAGCATTCATGTCTGTTAAGTGTGACAAAATGAAAACAAATTAGCTAAAAAAATCAGGTGGTTTTGATTTCAAATGAGGGTCAAACATTAAACCAAGAGCTTTCACGTCAAGCCAGCATTAGCGAATGGCCAACTCAGCCTTTTGTATCAGGCATCTAATGTTACCAATCTGAATCTCTTTGAACATAAAGGTACTTTGGCAAATTATTGGAAGAAGAACTTTACAGATGCATGTACATCGACTACATGGCTGGCAGAATGGTCAGCTGACCCGGCTTCCTCTGAATGCAATTCTGCCCAAAACAAGACGTGATTCTATCTGCGTAAAACTCTTTACTAGAGACACTCGGTGCAATAGTGCAGAAAGCAGTGCGCCACTCTCTTTGCTAACAAAAAAAAAATTCTACACAGGCCCAGCGAGTGATGTAGACAAAGATGTAAAAATTCCCTGAAGCTGAATATGTTCGGGAAAAAATGGGTTAAATATTTGGTGCCAAAAACTTCCTCAGGCAGAAAAATCAGCTCGCATCTGCAAAAAAAAGGTTGCTTATCAATTTAGCCAATGAAAACAAGGCTCACTTACACTGGCCAATCGCATGCGAGCACTGTAAGCGTAAATATCTTGGTCAAATCTACAAAAAAATAATTCAGTTCCCACTGTCTCTAAAGATGACGAACCTTATACGTGTATGTGGATCCTACATTTTAATCAATAGCTCCTTTACACAAAAAAATACAACTGTGTATGATGCTGCCAAATGATGATTTTATTGATGAATCTAGCAAAATGATGGTTGCTACAGGCAGAGCTATAAAATGATACTACTCATTAGGCGTAAGGCAAAATCCATGATGAAAAACTCTATAAATAACACAGTTATCAATGGGTATTACAATTTTTGTAAACAGCAAACACAACAATGCTTTCTTTTTATATTTTTTTTGAGCACAGCAACCAAAATCACAACTTCTGCAAATACCTTGAGCTTTAAGATTTAAAATGAGGTCTGGGAGAAGTGGACAGGCATCAGGAAAAAAGAAAAGAACTGACGGTTAACAAACAAAATATAAACAATAAGCATACTTGATGTATATGTCACGTGGAACTTACGGCAGCCCCAGAAGCTGGTGGGCTTAAAAGTTAACATGTTAGAAGAAGAATGTTTGTTGGTGTGATGAAACATTAAAGTGATGGACAGAGGTGTTACTAGGGTAAAATTTCTGAGGTGGGACACTCGGGGGGGGGGGGAAACAGGGCTTACTCCTCAGAATGTTTTAGTGCACAGCACTGGCTGCATTTCCTTTGAAGTCGAATTGTAAAGGTGATATAGGTGTTTTGTTATTTAAATTAGGCCTAGCAATCAGACTAGAAATGGCACACGCCGTTTTTCCCAATACTCAACTTTGTCTCCGTCTCAGGCTTCGTCCCCGAAACCAATTCCCTGATTGTGGGCCTGAAGCGTTTAATTTAAATTGGATTACTGTAATTTCTGGCTTTCTTGCATCTTATTTGATGTTTTGTGGCACTATTAGACTGATTACTGCGCTTACAGCTTCAAAGTCAGGTAGTAAAAAAACAGGTGAAGCCTGAGACGGAGCCAAAGTTGAGTATTGGAAAACAGCTACAAACTCAGTTTCGATGGCTGGAGTTTACCTGGGGTGCATCTTTGGATTGGCAAAGAGCAAATTAGATGAAGTAAAATGCACCACGAGCTAGGTGTGTCCATTTTGGATTCATATGAGTTATAAATACCGAAAGTACTTGCTTGCACTGTCTTTTGGGGGGGCGTACTGTATCTTGCAATTCCATTCATCCCACCCCTGTAAGTCTTCTCTCTAATCCAGCACCGCGTCCCTCTCACTATTCCAATGCCACTCACCTGGTATGCTGTCCATCTGCACCAGGGCTATGTCGCACTCAGGCAGCGCAATGATGAACCCAAGGTTCTGAGGCGCCAGCAGCACCTTGTCGCCCAGCTTTGGTTGCCGCCGCTGCTGCGGCTGCCGTAAGCCCGTCACCCTCAGACCCTGGGCAGTGGCCGGCCGGGTGCGGGCGGAGGTAGGAGGGCAGTCCGGGCTGGGCCGGCCGATGGCCAGGTACTTGCTGGCATGGACTGGGGAAGACTGTGGTCTCCTAGGGAGGGCCTTGGGCGTCTGAAAGATCAAATGACAAGATTTAGGCGAACTTGAAAGCTGGAAATAAGTAACAGCATCCTTAACAAGCTACAAACTGTACCTGCCTTGGATTTGAAGTGTATCTTTTCTGGTGAATAATCAACAGACTGGTAGGAAGTTTTTGAAGTGATGCACATGCCCAGCTCACGCAAGACCAAAATTTGTATTCAAAGTGATATTGGTCATGCATGCTCAGCGTGTCCTGTGCCAAATGTGCATGAAACTCTGGACGTACGTAGTGCGCTCACACCAAAGGACCACCGTTGCTACGCCAAAACAAGCTTTCTCTTGTTCCTGCTCAGAGCAGATCATTTTGGCTGAAACTGTTGACTTTCGAAAGAAGCAAGTTGCAGTGGCCAACGTTGATGCACGGCCATGTGCCACAAAGACCGACTTAAGAGTCATTTGAACCGCACTTATAAGACATTTCTTATCATAACCTCATATTTTCAACACTCCGGGGCATGTCCATGGAGCAATATGTGCCACCACATGAAGACATTCACCGCAGCGGAATTCAAGTTCAACACACAATCGATATCAGTGGACTCCTAAGACTTTGTGTGCACAAAACAAATTCAGGATTAGCATGTTTAAATGACAATTATCAAAAATTTGTATGAGAAGAGTTTTGTCATGTGGTAAAAACTACCCACGTGACAGGCTCTAACCAATGAGAACCACCTGTTTGAAGTATTAATGGATGCTACTTACAGAGAGGACATAGGTTGACAAGCTTTTGACTGGGATTCCCTTGTTGAGGACATCCTTAGTATTTCTGTTAAGGGCATTAATTAGAAACTCTGCCACTTCTTCGATAATTCTCCGAAGCTCGCCCTTTACCAATAAAACAAAAATCAAGACGGGTGAAACATTTAATTTTACAGGTTCAGGAAACAACTTTGTTAGACTCATATTTTAATGCTCTCTTTTATTAGTTCTTACTTATACCGCTGTTAATTTGAACACAAAAAATGGCAGGAAGATTTATCAAGTCAGAATTCAGCACCGAAAAACAGGTGACAAAACTTGATTGTCAACTTTAAATTTCAAAGAGAGGAAACAGAGAGAAAAACACCATTCTGGAAGCTAACCCCTTGTTGCTTGATCCTCTCGATGAGATCTGCAACTTTGTCCACGATTGTGGTGTCTGCGGTTGCTACAGATACCAGGCGCATCACGCCGGACTCCTTGGTGACGTAGTCGAAGAAGACAGGCACAATGCAGAAGAGCTGAACCACCTCTGCAGCGAGCAAGGACTTAAACTCTTTGATGCTTGGATCAGAAAAAAAAAAAGCCAAGTGAATGAATAGGAAAAGACCTCTGGTGCATCAGCCGAAAAATTCTACAATCTCGGGCATGCTTTCATGACTTTGACCAGAAACACGTTTCCGATTTAGTGACCTGTCGGGCATTTTTTGGCAACTTAATATGCTTTTGTGTGGTTGCTCTTCTAAAATGCAAAATAACTATTGAAGATTGGAGTTGGTTCATTGCTGGTTGAAAATGGCAGCAAATATTGCATTCACACGTTTGATGCTGCATGCAGCAAACCAAAACGTGATTTTCTTTCTGAGTGACAATGGCGTTTGTCGACATTGTACTGCGTTTCCTTGTATTGTCTCTGTCAAATGATGCAGCCGTAGACCACAGACGGAATGAAAATCAAAATGGAGGGTGGCAGCTACTGTTTCGTTTTGTTGCCGTGGCTGCCTATCAGCGTGGCTGCCTGCACTTACTCGCTGGTTGCCACAACGCTCCGTGGTGAAGTTTGAGGTGATCCAACGCCAGCATTTGCATGCATCTTCTTGTACAGCTCGGTGACAGCGTGATAGAGACAGAGATACAAGCGGTCATACAGGCCTCCGTCCTGCACGACACACAGGGGAGGAAAATGAACAGAAACGCCGGGGTTTGGTCACTGAATTGTGTTGGGGTCAGTTCTGGCCTTGAGGAGGTCAAAAATGGCACACATTTCAGGTCAGTGGTCTTGAAGTGGCCGGCACAACTGCCAAACTGCATGATTTGAAAATCGCCCCCATTATGTTGGTTTTCATACAAACTAGGCCTGCGTATCAATAACATCAGACTTTGTCTACATGCACGCTTTCTTACAGAGCTTCACGCCTACTGTAGGTTAACAAAGTGTGACATCATATGAACATGGCACGGGCGTCACCAAGATTTTTTTCCGAGGGGGGGGAGTGCTCATGACAAGCAAACTGACAAACCACCAGCGGTGGAAGGCAGTCCATTTCAAGGTATTTTTAAGCAAATTGGAGACTTTCATTCCTTCTCTTCCCCACCTCCTTCTTTTTTAAATTTGGGGGGGTTGTTCTAATTTTCTGTATGATCTTCCATTGTTGGGGGGGGCCCGGGGGTTAGGGGGCCCTTGCTGTGGCCGTGGGACTTGCGCCTACTGGAACCTGGCAAGGAAAAACAGCATCTGGTGTGAAATATGAAAGGGCTGCGTAGCACCGTGATTAGAATATTGACAAGAATATAATGTAAAATCAGTGCTCTGGAACATGTAATTGCCAAGCTTTCGGTAACTGAGTACCTTCTTCAGGGTAAGCAGATTCAGTTAAGATTCAACTAAATCGACTTGCCCAGAAGAAGGTACTCAGTTACCGAAAGCTCGGCAATCACATATTCCGGAGCACTGATTTCATATCATATCAGATGTGAAACTTTGTTTTCAACACAAGCACAGCACTGTTTCACAATGTAAGGCTACCTTTTTATTGTCTCTGTCCACTTTGACCGCACTGAGCAGTAGGGAAGAAACCTGGCACCGGTGGTCCCTAGGCATCAGGAACAGCTCGATTGTCTCCACGCCCCTGAAAGTATTCGACAAACACCGCAGGTCTGTCACCTACCCAATGCTTCAACTGTTGCAGTACTACTTTTTGTAAAATATACTTCACAAGTGCTCACAACTGCTTCACAAGCACCCCGCTTCTAATTTCACCCTACAAGAGCCCTTGATATTTTCTCCAGTGCTTTTTTTTTTCCAGTGGAGCATTCAAGAGCTTTTTCAGAATGTCTTGCAATCATTTGGGCAACAATCTTAGACGAGTTCATCAGAAGTCCACCACAAGGCGTCAAGTCTTCCGTCAAGTCGCCAGCTATTCTAATATACTGTGGCAAAAGCATTCCTTTGTCACTGTTCAACTGGTTCCTCACAACTGGTCCAGTGAAAGGAACTTTTAGGAACCCTATCGCAGACCTACCCAACATCGGTCAGCTTGGCAGCACTCAGCGTCTCCTGGACGAGGTACGTTGGCAGGACAAATTCCAAGGAGGCTACCAGCAGGAGCAGCAGGACGTTGCATCGGTCCCTCTCCTTGGGTCTGACGTCCAGAAGGCTTTCCATGAAATGGGTCTGGTAGATTTTTAACCTCTGGTCCCTGTTTAAGCATTCCAAAAATGTACAACTTTTCACGGCTTGTAAAATACAACAGCATATGTGACTGCCGTGCAATGCAGCTTTGTGGGGGACAAACGAGCGTGCAAACAGCAATAAGCCTTTTGTTGGTTAAATTTGAATAAATTCGGGTAAACTGAGTTCTTCAAATTCACGTAAACGTAATTTGAATTCTCCATACTAAAGACTCTGTTGCTATACCTTGTGATTCGGGGTAAGCTTTTCCCTAGTTACATAAGAGACGTCATGCATCAATACACTGTTTTCAACGGACAAGAAGGGTACAAAGGAACCAGTCCATTCCAGAGATGGTAGTCGCTATGTAAAAGCTTGCTCCGAATCACAAGGTACCAGTGCAGAAACAGTGTCTTTAGTCTGGGGTATTGAAATTGTTATTTTTATGTGCAATCAGATAACTCAATGTACCAGATTCTATTCAAATTTAACTCGCAAAAGGCTTATGAACTGTGGCTTGTATATAGGTAGTGTACAGTTCGAAATTTCAAATGGGGAGGGGTGGGGCTAGGAGGCATATGCCCCTCCCCTGGCCCCCTTCTATTGTACATTCGATGACTGGAAAAGAATAGCAGGGGGGGGAATACACGGTAGCATATTGAAATGGGATGGAGATTTTAAAAGCAAAATCAGGAAGCTGATAGAGGCAAACATCGGGACACTGACAAAAGAAACTTGGGGTGGTGAAAATGAAGATTGTGAAGTACTGGGGTAAACATTGACGAGTTATGACTTTGTAGTGGGCAAAAGAAACCCTGGTATTGAGCCGGAATGATTGGTCACCTGACTACAAATTTGGCTTTCTTGGCACTCACGTTTTCCTGTGTCTCATTTCCAGTCGAAGGTCCTGCTCCAAGCAGTAGAACAGGTACTTGAGCCTGCGGTGGTCTGTCTCCACGTTGAGGGAGCCATTCGTTGGGAATCGCATCATGAAATGAGTCGTCTGTACAGAAAGACGGGGAAAAAAAAGATCATCAACACGTAAGTTTGGCATTTTAAACAATGCTTGGTTCTGACCTCTGGGAAAGTATTGTAAAGCTTGATTATTCCTTTTTGTTTGTTTCAATTAAATTTATAATATCCGCCCCAAGTGGGACCAAGGGAGGGCTCGATTTTCCTAGTCTCCTTTGGTGGGAACCACACTTCACTGGTTCACAAACGACTATGAAATGCACGTGTCATGGTTGCATCGTTACCAACGAAATAAACACTCCCCACCAACGTGGCTCTTCATCAATTGATGAGGGGGTATTTCTGAGACGCTTGGTGGCGGCAAACATGGAGGTCCTTTTTTGGCAGTTCTGAGCATGCGCGCATTGTTCTGAGCATGTGCACATTCTTCTGAGTATGCGCGCAGTTCTGAGCATGTGCGTATTGTTCAATAGTGTGAAAAAATGACCAGCAAATCTGCTGCTACCAAAATCTCAAGGTCTCCCATTGGAAAGCACTCCGATAAATGCTACCTTGACGTTAGCACTGACTGTGAATGTGTGACTTACCCTTTCTCCGTAGATTCCATTGACCTCAATTTTCTTCAGTGGTGTCGGCACAAACTGCTCCCGTGTTAGCTTGTGTCTCTGTGAATGCAAAACGGACCACATGCAACAACTACTCTTCATCTCAGGGCTGAGAAAGATTTGCTATTTTCGAAAGAAAAATGCTTTGATGTTACCAATTCATTAATAAGGTATAACATACATGTATGGTTGACCGGGGAGCAGTTTCACAGTGTTCCTGCAGAAATTGGAAAACTAAATTCCATGGATTTTCCCAGGACTTTCCAAGGCCAAAATATGACAGATTCTATGATGTTTCATGCCACTTTGAAGAACATTTGTTTGGTATTATAAACCGGAAGACTGTCACAGCCACTTGTAGATTGACAAGCAAGGAAAGCCTTTACATTGATCACAATTTCTTTATCATATCAAAAGAAGCCAATCCAGAAAAAAAAACCTGCACGAATTTGGTTTCCATCACCATTTTTCTTTTGACAAGAAGATTCCACAGCACTGTTTTTGTTTCCAATTTTCCATGATTTTTCTACGACTTCCCAGAACAACCTTTTCATCCAGGTTTTTCAAGGATTTTCCATGACTATGGGAACCCCATTTTTAAGAACTTATGTAATGCTTAACATCTGCACCTCCTTTACTGTTAATGAATGGATTTTTTTTCCAATGACAGTTCATTCAGAAAAACCCAACCAGACGTAAATAATGAGAGGGCTGACACATGACTCTCGAGTATGCTTTTGTATTCAAGAGCAAAGCATGAATTGACCGTGATTATAGTGCAATGCCGGTCTACCGGTCTTTGCGTTAAGGGCATTTGTACTCACAACTGGTCGTTTTGAGAGCGCCGAGTCTTGGAAAAACTGTTGGACCTGTATCCGCTCTGCAGCTGTAAAGAACACATGAATGTTTCCAACTTAGCTCATGCTGCTGAAGAGTTTGAGGTGTACTTAGCTTTCTGTCTCCTGGATCTCAGTATTCATGCAATGGACAAATTCAATCACCAAGAAAAGTCTCTTTATGAATCTGCCAGGTCTGAAAACTTACGATGATCCGCTTCCTTCCGTTTAGAATAAAAATAAATAGGAAAAAATACAATTCATGTACAGAATCATGACCGGTACTCATGTACAGAATCATGACCGGTACTCATGCACAGAATCATGACCGGTACTCATGTCTGTATTCATGCAAACAGGGAGACTGAAGTGTGCGCTTACATGTAACAATCTTGCCATCTAACGTCCACACATTAGGCAAGCTGTCAATCACATGGATACGACCTATATGCAAGAGAAGGGCAGAGAAAAATGTGCATGTAGATATTAAAACATGAACAAGTATCATGTATTCTATAGCTACATGGACGCCAGTCTAAGTTGAGACTTAGAACATTTCTATTCTCTCCTGGATAGGATGCTAACTTAGTCATCCATTTCCACGGCAGGCTGCTCCCAAGCTAAACACACATCCCATTTACACTCCTGGATGGAGACAGGCAAGTAAAGTGGCTTGCCTAAGGACGCAACACAATTGTAAGTAGCTATGAGCCACTACACCAGCCCGAGTCTCTCTGTCTCCTGATGACGAATAGAGCATACCATTCAAAAAATCAATTTCAAACAACCGCTTCTTTCTCAGAACCACACAATTAAAAAAACACAATAACTTCCAAAGTGCTACTTTACTGTAAAGCTTTCATAGTTTGTCTATGACCAAGAGTTTAAAATTCTATTCACATGGTCACAATCCCTCTAAAAAATGAGACAAAGAAAGGGATATGACAGGTACATGCTATCACTATTGCTGCTGTTTCTCCGCTGTTCCTTGGAATGTTACCGATTTGTGTACATTCTAACGAAAATTAGTCTGGTGCCCTCTACCCTATGCTGTTGTGAACCAGCAGAAGCGTAGTGTGTAGTGTGGTTTACATACTATCACAAACGGCTCTCTACCCATCCTGATGACAGCATGAATTGCGACCCTGTCATATCTACAGGTGTGCAATTTCATTAGACGCAATTAAGTCTTCAATTATGTGCATCTGAGAATTCAAATGCGGTCTTCAAAAATGGCATGCACAGGACTTCCACGGAGGGGAGGGGTTTAAAAGGAATTGCTTGAAGCACGAACAGTATTCATCCTTCTCCAGTATCTCATTGCCATGGAGACTGAGGTCAAGGATGTGCATGTGACGTATCTTCATGAGCTCGCCCCACTTCAGATCGTTGTTGGCAAGATTCAGGCAGCCCAGGGCGATGAATTTAGACAAGCCATCCAGATTGCTTATCTGGATAGGAGGGAAAGAGAGGAATTGAAGATAAAAGTGGAACTTGCTAGTGCACACAGATGTGAAATTGACACATTCAAATGTAACAACTCCCAAGCCTGTGTAAAAATTGTCAAAAACTTTCAAGCTGAACCTAACTTTTAAAAAGTTAAAATTTGTACTTGGTATTGATGGCATTTGCTTTCTAGGTTAATTTTTACATAGAACCAACAATGGTCAAAGCAGTTGATGTACACAGTACACAATTTAGACAAACAAACAAACAAACAAACACCCCAACAAACAAACAAACAAACAAACAAACAAACAAACAAACAAACAAACAAACATTAAATGCATATGCAGTAAACATTCTTGGTCTAGCAAAACAAAAACATTTCAAAACAGCAGTGTCCTAGTCTAGACCACCATTAGGCCATACGCAAGACCTCTCACAAAGACCAGTCACAGGTTACAGAGTGAATAGTAACAAAGGAATGCTTTTCTTGCACTTCCATTGGATAGCTGGTGACCTGAATTCAGGTCTTGTGACCGGCATTTTGTGGCGGTCTTAAGGGGTCCTGACTGCAACACTGCAGAACAAGTTGGGGTAGTCCATTTTATTGTGTCATTCTCAGATGAGTAAAAAGCATCCTCTTTTCATCTTAACCCTCTGAAGAGTCTGCAAAAAAAAATTATCAGGGCTAATGTAAATTTTGCCAGTGTTAATTGTTAAGTGTACACAAGTTGATAAGTTTGGTACACTTGTGAAAATACCACAAAAAATTGACAATCCCTTGGTTAAGATGGGGAAGAAAAGTTTTACACACCCTCTATCAAAAACTAACTTTACAAAGGGGTTTGAAAGATTTTTCTCTCTTTCTACCTTGCAATTGGACAAATCCAGTCGCCAAAGGCTGTAACATGATTCCAGGTTCTGCACGATGGCGATGTTGTTACCTTGCAGTGACAGGGCCTGGAGCCGGCTACACTGTTTCAGCCCATCGATGGTCACTGCATTCAGAGAAGTATATCACAAACTTTACAATACCTTCATCAATCCCCGTGATCTGATTGGTGGATCCTTGATCACATGTCACTGATTTATTTGTTCTATTCCACGGTGCCCATAGAATAGAACTTCACTTAACTGGTTCCCATCCCCATCCATTCAATCCAACTAATGTACTGACAGGCACTATCTAACATATCAAAATTTTCACATTCATGCAATGGTAAGAATAATTTTATTTGGTGTTCGATTCCATAAGGCCCATAGGTCAAACTTAAAAACTCTTCATGAGCTGAACTGTGTTGATCAGCAAGGGGAAGGGCTGAAGGTCATTTAGCTTCAGTATAGCCACTATAAAAGTGAGGGTTGAAGAAATTCACTCCCCTTAATCTGTTGCCTGCTGCCTACAGGTGGCGATACACATGTACATAGAACAGTAACTCTGTCAGCCTATGACCTTATGCAACAGAAAGACTGTGTAACACTGCATATGTTTTGCAATCCTCAGGTAAGAAAAACCCAATCACAAAACTGCCAGAATAGTCTATGTGTGAATAAATGAACTCACCTATTCCATGATATGAAAGATCCAGGTATTCTACGGAGTAAAGAGGTCCGCGTGACCTGGACCGCACCAACTACATGCACAAAAGAAAAAGGAAGCCTATCTATAACTGTCACCAGATTCCACAATATGGGCCCTAAGTTACCTTAATGAGTAACAGTTAGGCTTAGAGCTTCTTTCTTTCACATGGATCTGAATCTCAATCAGTGATCTCTCACTGGTTTACCCACCCCAGAACCTGCCTAATGGATAGAGCGAACCAGCAATATGATCACTAATCGAGATCTAGTTCCATGTAAAATAAACAGGACCTAAGCCTAGGCTAAGGGTCGACAGCGAGGCCTACATAATCATGTAGGGCACACTGCAGCTCTTTTGTGCTCTTTTTGTATTTGCGAGGGGCCCGATAATGTTCACTGATAAGCTTAGTCCAGGTAATTTAAAGTGAGAGCAATTAAGGCCGACTGATTGATATCTGCACTTGGCACATGGACTCTAATTCGATAATCACGATATTCCGGTTGTGTGATGTAACGTGACAGCAGCTGCAACAAGTCGGGTGCCTGTACTGTAGTTTAGTTTGATCATGTACATGTAATTGTTCATTTGAAATGCTCCAATTTCAACCGTTCCTCCACCAGTCCATGATCTCACTGAACATAAAATACTCACACCTTGGCATAGGAAGTTAGAGTTACGGTCATTTTTCTAGTAATTTTGCTTTAGTGGAAAGTGCGAAGTGGAAATGGGGCGAAGTGACCGACACCCAACCTTAATTAGGCCTACACCTGTTCAGGAAGTAGCGGTTGGGCACACATGTTATGATTGATTGACTGTAGCCTGGCTTTCAATCAAAGGTAGCTAATACAGCATTTAACTTGTTTTTGGTCAGCTGGGTCACTACTTTACCTACTGACACCATCACATTGTAAAAATGCCAATGCTAATGGCATTTTTAGACAAACCTTAGATGTTAGCCGCATTGTATTTGTAGTACCAACTCCATCACGTCCCGTCTTTCGCGTTGCTGGTTGCACGGAGACAAAATAGTTGGGAGCTCTGCGAGTCATATGCACACAAAAGCGTTCACAACTTGATTGAGCGAGTCAGGACTTCAGACGATCAACTTTCACGTAAGATTTAATAGTGTGAGTCCTAGACTTCGTGCCACCTATTTCTTACGATTCGTCTTCCCAAGAGCAGACTGAAACTAGGGCAAGTTTTCTTTGGTGCGTACGGACTACGAAGTACGATGTTGGAAGAAGACTGAACTTCGACAATTAAAAAAGTCTTTAGAAAATGGATTCTTCAGCGCCTACGGACCTTTTGCAGTCAGGAACAGCGCCTGCGGATCTTATGCAGTCAGGAACGATAATTGAGGGTGTTGGAGATGAGCTTGTGCACGCTTTTGGGATATTTATTGTCATTGCAGTTCCACTGGTGGTTGCTTTCGTCAACCATGTCAACAGGTGAGTTTCCCTACGTTTTGCATGTTTTGTATGCCTGCCATCTGCTACTACTAGTCCAGTGGACGTCGTCTACATTGCATTGCGATTTTTTTTCAACGTTTTTCTCACAATTTTACATGGCGGAGACATCTGAATATGTCGTTCACAAGTGCCTTGTATTAACATGATTAAGTTGTAAGTTGTAGGCGTAGCCTATCCTAAATTCCATAAATTCCGTGTTGAACTTGTTATGCCCCAGCTAATGTAGTTAGGACAATCCCAACTGCAGTGCTGTAGTTGGTCTGGCACAACTATTGTTGATCAATTTCTATAGAAATTTTCTCAACCTTATCCAAGTTTATGCATCATACACTCTGCAGCGTAGTGAGGGGGGTTGAGTGTTGCCCCCCCAATAATTCTTTTCAGTCGGCAAATAATGGATCAGTCAGCAACTGGACCTGAAATTGACGTCGTGGATTATTGACGTACATCGACCAGTCGGCAAATGGACTCCGGCACACACCCCCAAAGAAGATGCCTTTGCTACGCCGCTGCTTACACTTGACACAATCATCTAAAATATGGCACTCCATCCACGACATGACAATGTAAACAATGAATATGACTTTGGCACATGTTGGACACATGCACACTGGACCTCTGTGCTGTAGTTGGGCCGGCTTAACTATAGCACTGTAGTTGGGACGGGCCCAACTATAGTTGGGAGGGTCCTAGCCCAGGTTGGACGTTGTCTTCATTTCATTACGACTGATGTCCAGGGTATAAAGTTGTGTACAAAACAACCAAAAATTTGGTTCTAATTTGTTCTTGGTTTACCTTGTTGAAGAAACTATTTTTTACGTTAACAAGTTCGTCGTGGCCTTAGCTATCCATCGGGGGGGCTTAAGAATATCAGAATGAACCATGGATTGCAAAATCAAGGAAAATAAGTGAGTGATAACATAACTTTTGTTGGTGTAATTCATCCGTTTTCCAGTTGTAAAGTGCACGCATGTATAGGAATCCGTGCACGATTTCCAGGGGAGGTGTGTTGCATGCCCGCTACACGGACGCTGTGACTGGTACCTGGCTTTAACCAGCCTACTGAGTACTGTCGAGCCGAAAAACAAAAATGCAGTTCCGTTTTCTCGGATCGATGGCTTCCCCTACAAAATGCTGAATTCAATGAATATTAATCGTATTTGAACAAAATCAAAATCAGTCTGTTTGTGTTAAAAAAGAATTGTTGTTTAGGTGAGAAATTGAATCTAAAAGAACAACAAAAAAAAGCATTTAGAATCAGGGCTGGAGTTACTCAAGCCATGCTAATCAAGTTGTTCATGATGACCAGTTGAATTATCCTCCTACTTAAAATAAAATTTGTTGGAGCCCTCTGGAGAAATGCAGCTCGTCTTTAACAATTCTACTGAGATTGAATTCGTATCTTTGTTACTAACCATGTTAAAAAGGGAAAACTTTTCCTGGGTTTACTTTTTGTTCATCATTTTCTTATTCTTTGCTGCGTAGCCTGCAACATAATTTCACAACATGTCATACGAAAGTCAGATATATATTAGTTGGATAATTCTGCGGTTGTTCATTTTTAACAAAATTTTTGTGGACAGTAGAAATCAAGTGGATTCTATCCACCCAGACAATGAACAACGAGTTTATGAAGCCAGGCAGCGATTGGGAGTGGATAGAGAGACAGTAAACGGTGACAGTCCACAACAGCAACAGCAGCAACCACAGCAACAAGAACAACAACAAAATGGCCCCGCCTCGGCACCGCCGCTGCCCAGGCACAGATATAGCACGGACCCCACTTGTCCCGTCTGCCTGAACGAAATGGCATACGCCACCGAGACGAACTGCGGCCACGTGTTCTGTGGTAGGTTTCACTGCTGGATGGGCAGTCACAGGTTCCCTGCCTGTGAATTAGCGTGACTAATCTACCTGGTTATTTCTACATGTAGCTTAGATTCCTGTACAGGGAGTGCTGACTTTTTGGCACTGGATTTCAGTGATTTTCCAAGTTTTGGCGACTGAATCTTACCGTAAATCTCAATCGTAAGTCTAACCCCAAGCCTGGCCACAGGAAATGAAATTATTGCACCCCAACTGTAACATCGTTCCCGACTGTAGTTAGGTTGGTCCTATCTACCCGTAAACGAGTTGTAAATCTATTCGATACAAACCCACTGAGTGGAATTTCTCTTTCGTTGTCTGCCTGCAATTACTTTGTTATGCCGCTGACTGTTATGTAGCATTGCTGTTATGTAGCAGTTGGGCCGGCCCAACTATGGTGCAGTGTGCCAGGATTCACCACAGCATGCCCCATTCCTTGCTTGTGTTTAATAGAAACTTTTGTCAACAGAATCCACTTTTTGTTTGTGTCTTCGATGAAGCAGCAAATCTGCTTCAGTTTGATGTATTCTGCTGGGCGTGAGTTGCTAAAAAGTGTAGAAGGTTGCAAAATTCTTGCTGACTACAGTTTACACTTAAAATAGGGAACCATGTATTTGTCAAGCGTACAAGTGCGTATCCAGACGCCCGCGTTAGTGTTCAAAGATAGACAAATGGGCTATAGAAAGACCAAGAATAATATAAAAAAATTTCGTGACAGAGTATTGAAACTTAATCCATCTTGTCTTTGCTTTCATTCTCAAGGAAACTGTTTAATTACTTACTGGAGGCACGGGAACTGGCTTGGGTCCATCAGATGTCCCGTCTGTAGGCAGCAGGTAGGCAAGACAAAAGTCTCTCCGAAAACTCTCCAAGTAACTGTGGTTGACGACTGCACGTGTAGTGCAGCTGTAATCCTAACTGTAGATTTGTACAAGGACCGAATTATTAATGGGGATCATTTAATAACTTGGGGGTCCAAAAGCGCGTCATTTTTCTGTCCCCGTTACACCTTATGAGTAAATTTTAAGCAGAAATATCACTGAAATTGACTTCAAACTATTACTATGTGTTGGCAGGTAATTTGCATTAATTCATCACTCTTGGAAATCACAGAATGTGTTGTGAACTTACAAAATCATACGTCAGACGTGACAGGGACATGAAAGAAAAATTGGACCCCTAATTTATAGAATGACCCATAGTGCGGTCCTCTGGTTTGGTCGTGTTGTGCTTTATAACGTGTGACCTGAACAGTGCGTCTCCTCCAAAGTCGGTCTGCTATTTGTTCTGCGACTCTACCGATGAGCGCTGTGCTGGGTCTTCCTCTCTTTCTGAACCCATCTGTTTTGCTCTGGGAGGTGTGAGAACTTGGTCACCCCATCCTCTCCAGGTCCAGAAAAAAACAAATCATGACAGGTACATGCAGGTGTTTCATCAGAGAGGCAAAAGAACTTTGTTGGGTTGATACTGTAATATAGTGGGTGGTCGGTCGCACCTCCCAACAGTGCCAACACAGCTCACCAGGACATGGCTTTGCAGGGGATAAAATGAGGGGATGAAGTTAAAGTTACAAGTTTGTTATTTTTTTAAAGGAAATCATGTTTCGTAAGCATTCAGTCTTAATGGGAATGGGTACAAGTATCAATAACAACTTCAAATGCCCTCCCCTAAATGGGTACCAGTTTCAATGACAACATCAAATGCCCTCCCCTAAATGGGTACCAGTTTCAATGATAACATCAAATGCCCTCCCCTAAATGGATACCAGTTTCAATGACAACTTCAAATGCCCTCTCCTAAATGGGTACCAGTTTCAATGATAACATCAAACACCCTCCCCTAAATGGGTACCAGTTTCAATGACAACTTCAAACGCCCTCCCCTAAATGGATACCAGTTTCAATGACAACTTCAAACGCCCTCCCCTAAATGGGTACCAGTTTCAATAACAACTTCAAACGCCCTCCCCGAATGTTCATTTCTTTGATATGAATGTATTCATTGTTGCACGTAGGTGACTCTTTTGTTGCCATGTTTTCGAGAAGTTGACCACACCACTGATGATGCGCAAGCTGTGACCCGCGAGATCAACAACTACAACAGGCGATTCTCCGGTGAACCACGGCCGGTAAGTTCAACGCATGCACAGCTTATTTCTAACGTGAGTGGATCCCTCAAGTAAAGTCTTACAAATGTTGTCTCTCACAGACTTTTGTGTGCACAAATTGTGGCATCCGCTATGAATGTGACTGTGTGTGGGTTAGCTAAGAAAATTGTAAGTGCCCTTGTTTGTTTCCGCTGCTTGTGTGGACTTGAGCTCTCTCACCACGGTGGGACTGATCGGAGAATGCTTCTTAACAACAGGTTGCAAGGACATCTAGTACTCAGGTCCGCACACCACAAGATTGGCAAATTTGGTGGCAGTGACATTTGCAGTGTAATACAACCAGTAACCCTTCAACTTTGACCTTTGCTTTCCCCCTTCCCCACCAGCTGATGGACTACATCCATGACCTCCCCACCCTTCTGCGCCACGCCATCCGTGAGTTCTTCACCCTCAGTGGGCTTGTCTGGATGTTTCGCATCCGCATCATTGTCTGCTTCTGCGCTGCCCTGCTCTACTTTATCTCACCGCTGGACATCATCCCCGAGGCGGTCTTTGGCATCCTGGGCTTCCTGGACGACCTGCTCATACTGCTCCTGCTGCTGATTTACGTCACCATCATCTACCGGGGGTTCATCGCAGCCCGTGCGGGAGCCGTCTGACGGTGACGTGCCTCCCAGCACAAGCGTCTCCAGTACCACAGACTGTTTATAAGCCCAGTTTCTGCACAGTCATCATAAACGCCACAGCACGCAAAGGCTGCATTCGCAAGTGTTACTCTCAATAGTCAGAAACTTGGTACAAGAAAGCGTCGCATGCGCAGTGCTCTCGGATTGCATCACGTAAACGCTCAACATTTACTTTTCTGCCATCTTGCAAAATCCAAGTAGTGCATGATTCTACCCTCAGCCAACCTCGACTCCATGGGCTGCATGCACATTGCTTCACGAGCCCCTGGTCATGTAGAATATGAAGATGACACTGACTAGCTATTTAGGATGAATATACGTAAACGTAAAGTGAATCACGCACATATTTCAAAAGCTACATGCTCGCGCTCACGTATTCTCCTGCACGTCACGGGTCAATCTGTGTCACATGTATAGTCCTAATCTAAATCTCCCAGACAGCGGGATATTTAAATGATACAATACAAGGGGTTAAGATGGCAGCAAAGCATGATGGGAACCAACTTGGGGCAGCAAGATCATACCCGTGAGAACGAGGTTGACCCTTGGCCCGATAGGCTCTCGCTTGCTTTTGGGTCACGCTCGTGCCATTTGTGCGCACAGGAGTATACGGTACTCATGTCAACATATCTCTGTTGCAGCCAAGATGTCCTGCCACCTAAAATTGAGCAAAATTACGTCCAAAATTCCCCAAATTTTCCCATAAAATGCCTAGTTGACATGATGATTCCACCCTTTGAAGTGAAACTGGTACTCCAGTTCATTTTGTTTATGGCCAGCAACTTTGATGACAATTGACAGCCAGGGGTGGTAGACGCGATAAAGCGTACTAGCGACATGATTGCGTGTCTTTGGGCCTGCTTGACAAGGGCTCTCTTTGTCACTTCATTTTGATATGTGGACATAAGTCGTGCACTTTGGACTTGACTCTAAATAAACTTTAAGAAAAGAGACAAACTTTTTCTCTCACCAAAGTGTACCTTTGTAAAACACGACGAACGAAAAAGTTGAATTATTCAAAATGTGCCCCAAAGTGATAGCAAGTAAACTCTGTGACAGTATAACAAACCTTTAAACGTGAGACACCTATGTTTAGCATGTCAACAACTTCTTGACGAACACGAGTGCGTCGGCGTCCAATAGCTGTTGTGCATGTATCAACATATACAGGTAACATCCTGATAGTTTATCTTGACATTCACATCAGCGTCGGTATTGCTTTGTGAAAAATAAAGCTCGTGTGGTTGCACCCCAACTCTTGATGTTGCGAATATTCCCTCAAAATGTCTTTTAGAAGTGCCACACTCCATTTGCATATTTGAGCAGTGTTGTTGCTGAATACGAGCAATACACAATGCATTTTGCCACCAAAGATTGCCACTTAGCAGCTATTCTTAAATCCATGTTTGACCCAAAAATGGCCAACTTCCCATGAATTACGTGTTGGCAAATATTAATATGCAACTTGAGGAAATGTTTTGATAGATCAGGGCGTGCCGTGCAACTGAATCCCTGGTTTTGTGGAAGTCTTGGAATACAGATTGTTTAGCTCAGCCATTTTTCCCCTTACGGCTCTATGTACGAACTTTGATCATGAACAGAGAATGTACCTTTGGCTGATGTGCATTGTGGTAAATGTTAGCATTTTCATTTCATTGGTCTTGTTTGAGAGCTAAAACACTCTGAGGACACTCATAAATCCTCATATTACTCCGAGGACACTCGAGGTCCTCACAAGAATCTCACACCCCAGCTCTCTGAGGACGCTTGCGGTCCTCACAATTTGGGCTCAATTTCCTTTTCAGTGAAAATCTGTCCTGCGTTAAAGATCTGTCTGAGGGTTCAGTGTGTGAACCTGCAAGATGTAGACTTGCCAGTATAAAGGCTACCAGCCATATTTTCCGCTACAAAAAACTCTGATTGAATCAGTAATACAATACATGTATTTGTAAAAGTGAAGTCTACTGTTGCAGCAGATTAGACTTTATTTCCCAATGAATCTTGAAAAATGCAGGGTCAGTCAATTGAGAAATTGTGCCTTTTGTACGCGATTCTTTTCTGTAAATTGGATATGTAAATATTCATATTGTCCGTGTGGATTAAAAAAGCCTTAAGGTATATTCAGAAATTTAAGGCCAAATTGGGATTGCTTGGATTTTTCATAGTTGAAATTAATAGTAATGTCTGAACTTTCCTATTGAAATGTGTGGCCCGGAGGCTCTAAGAATTATAACATTGTGGTACATTTTTGTAGACAGCCAGTGTTTTTCAACCTTAAATTAGCAACATAATGGGAAACTTGATGATGCTTGGTGGCGGCAGACAAGCCAGCCCTTTTCCACAATTGTGCACATGCTCTGAACCACGCGTGCATGCCTGAAATTGCGTGTGCATGCCCGAAACGGGCAGAAAGGACTGGTTGGTCTGCCTCCACCAAGCGTCTCAAAGTCTCCCGTTTTAAACAGATGGGGGTTTTAAAGATTTGATTTTTCCACTTGAGTTTTAGAGTGCGACAAAAAACTGTGTGAAATTTCCACTTGGAAAAAGACAAAAGCCACAATGGATGCCTTGTTTGGGAGTTGGTTCAGCTCACAGAATTGCATGCGGAAGAAGTAACTGGTAACTTGACGGGAATACGTCTTAGCAGAATCGTTGATTATTTCACGTTCAAAAGCTGAAGGGAGTTGAGAAAATTTGGTTAAAATTCTGAAATGTTGCACCCCAAAACATCTTTCCAAATTGATCTGACTTCCATCCTTTGAAAGGGGAGACTGGGTTAGACTCATGGACTGAATGTTACAAAGCTCAATAGCTCTGCTGTAGCTTTACTGACTAGTGACTCGGAAATGCTATCGTCGCAAAACCAATTAAAAGAAAATTGAAACTGCACATTTTTTTTAGAAAACAGAGAGTGTGGAAAACAATGAAAGCTCTTCCATGAAGTAGTGAATGTTGCAGTTGCCGTAGAAAGTAGCAGCTTTTTTGGGGGTTGTGACCGCAGCGGTCGTAACAGCAGCTTGGAAATGCAAATCAGTGGCGTAACAATCATGAAACTTCTGTGGGCGGCTCACTTTTAAGGGGTCACCGATTACACATGAATTGTGGCTTTTACGTGAACATAGGTCGTTTACATGCATGTCGAATGTTTGAATGGGCTGCATAGACCTCGGGGAGGCCTCTGCGACATCACATTTGTTTAGACACCTGTTGCGGAGCCAGTGTGAACCCACTGTTTGCAGAGCTCCATAGGAAAGCGCACTCTTAAAATTGTCACATCATCTGTAGAGAGGCCTGTTTCATCTCGTTGCTCTGACGTCGTCGTGCTGTACATGTATAAGTAATCCGCATTCTGTGCACGTCATGGAACTAGTGTCTATGCAGTCCCATTCGCTGTGAACTAGAAACCTTCGGTGGCAAGGAGAAGTTAGCAGTTGCTTACCCACAGACCAGCAACGGGGTGACCAAGGGTAGATTCCAATTTTTTTCAGTAAGTGGATGGGGTGGAGTGGGAGGCACAGGCTTGAGGATGGGGGTAGTCCCTGTTACTTCCGTCAGTGAAGCAGAATGAGAGTGGATCCAGAAGCTAATTTTTTTTTGGGGGGGGGCCAAATTATTATGGATTTTTGAAACTTTTTGGGCCTTTCTGAGGAGTGAGGCTATAGAAATTTGCTTTCCATTAGTTTTGCAGAATAAACAAATGTGGGATTGGCCCCCCCCACCAGATTCGTCCTTGATGAAGAACCAGAACAGATTTGGTCCTGAAGACAGTTACAAAATTATTCCTTGCCACTAACAGTGACCCACTCACATAACTTAAAATCTGAGTTGTGCTAAGCTTACCTGAAGATCAGGAGAGAACAGTATTTATTGTTCATGTAATAATTGGAATGTTTAACTCATTGCTTAGAGCATTGCAGCATTACATGCACTTATTTAGTCATCTCATTTTATTTTTTCAGCCTTTTAAATTCTTTTTTTTTTAATGATTCCATATGGATTCTGTGTCTGAACATGCTTTCAAAATAAAAATCTCATATGCCTGTAAATGCACTTTCTAAATCTGTATGGAGTGTTCCTTGTGGTGTGTTGCTCTTTGAAAGCACCAGCCGGGCTGACAGGTGCTTCAGAAGAGATCAAAGAACTTGCCGTTGTTCAGTGGAATCGCCTGTTCCTTTGCGTCTTCATAAAGAAAATTAAAGTTAGATCGAAAGAAATAGGGGGAGGCTGATGATAGAAGAAATACATTTTTAGCAGTGCTCCAAAAATTTGCCTCTAAAAATACAACGTATAATTATAAATATCAACTGAAACCGACAAAAAGAGGTTTAGTACCTCCCCCATATTTATTTCTATTTATCTCTTATTGTTTTGGTATTTTTGGTTTCTTCGCTCGTCGCCCACCTCGGTGTTTGGGCGCTGGTCAACGAGCGAAGTGTCACCTGTGCTTTAGGGACGTCCCCGCGACGGTGCACGCAACAAGCAAGCGGTTGGTTCGTTGACAATCGGACTAGCGCCCTCTACTGTCGCGTCCTGTCTTAATTAATTGCAACATGGCGACGTACAGTGCGAACGAATTTGGGGTGTTGCCGTCCTGAAAAACATTCGGCTTAGTTCCATTTCCCAGACATTTTCGCCGGAAATTGCTACAGTTTTCCAAAATCCCTAGCAAGCCGATCAAACTGACCATGGAGCCGACCGAGGACAACCTACAGATGCTCGTCAACATGGGCTTTTCCGATCTAACCGAAATCAAGCGGGCGCTGACGCTGAGCAAGAACGACGTCAACGAGGCCGTGGCGATCCTTACCAACGAGCAGCCGGGCCTGTCCTACGACACCGTGGACGAAGTGGTGGAGATGATGGAGGATGTGGGCGGGTCGGGCTCGTCGTCGGGGAAGTCCAAAGGAGAGAGGTCGGAGCCCAGGCATCACTCGGATCCAGCGCCTCCAAGCTATGATGAAGCTGTTGAACCTGAAGAAGTTAGTGGACAAATTGGAAGAATAGAAATTTTATTTTAGTTTTGTTTTGCTTAAACATGGAACAGCATTTTTATGCCAGTTGCCACATGTCATTGTTTATTGTCTTTTGTTTTTGGCTTGTTAAATTGGTGTAGGCTTAGTGTTTTGAATTCTCACTTGCATTTTGGAATTAGAAGTTAAATTCAGTTGACATGCAGAATACCCCGCCACCCTGCATGGTCCACCTTTTGCATATGTGCACGTATACGAAATTGGTTTCAAATGTGTGACATCTAGATGAGAAAAATATATTTTTTTTAAAAAACAGGTTGCGGAGTGACTTTCGTACATCGTCATATGTCACTGTCCAAAAATCAGTCAGTAAGCACATAGTTTGCCAAATAACAGAACAGAATGGTAATATGGTGTCTGTCATGTCTCTAAGTTCTTACACTGGGCTTCTAATGAAGAGATATTATGCAATGGCAGTGGATTGACTCAGATTTCCTTGGATTACGAACCGTTAATTTTGACAGTCACGCGTGTAACAGCTGCACCGACGTGAAGACACATCAAAGGTCGTGACCCCATCCTTGTTCCCTGTTGTAGGAAACGTTACATGTGCATGTTGCCCATACATACTGGCTACGAGGCTGTGTTTATATGGTTTACACCAGCAAGTGTAGGCTTGACGTGGTACACAGTGCATGCTCGTAACACGTTACGAACAAGACGCGATTGCAGTCACGGTGAGAAAAGTCTGCAGCTTTAATTTGTGGCAACAGTTGCAGATTCCTTGGGCATTCTAAATTTACAAATGGGTTATTTTTAATTGATTGGGGCAACTGGGCAGACTAAAACTTTTGGCAGTGATAGAGCAGCATCAGCGTGCACGCTCGCAACCGCTCAGGACACCAGTTACCACAAACTAAAATGACTTTACGAAATACACGATCTGTCAGCTATTCAACTAAACATATATACAAGTATTCAGAAGGCATAACAATATCAAACACAACAGAAAAAAAAATCAAACGACATTTATAACAGTCATTACGGAGTTTTTAATCCGTCATTATTGCCATGTCACATTTTGTTGTCTCATTTGCAATCGTTACCATCATGTTTAGTTTTCATGAAAATGTGGTGGTTGTGTTTATGTTAACAAAATTACTGCATTTATAACTTCATGTATTGAGGTCCACATTAGATACATTTCATTTGGGACTACACATCCAGATTTTTAAAATCAGTTTTTATATACCGTACCAAATCTCATGTCTCTATAGCATTGAATAGTTATACATTGTCAAGTGCCTGGAAAAAGGACGTAAGTGCTTACGACCTTTTGCCAGGAAGCACGATCACTGAAAAACAAGACAATTTCCTGGCAAGAGGATGTATGTATGCAACTGTTTTACTCTAATGAAAAATAAAGATTTCTTTGCAAAAAGTTAGAAAAAGTTCCCAAGTCGTTTAATAAGTTGTTCAAATGTTGCCTTTTGAACAGCCTGTGTTGATTTTGTTTTGTAAATTTTTCTGTTTCACTAAATAAAGAGAGTGTGTTTCTTACACCCTTTTACTGGGAACAATTTTTCTGCTGTGATCATGCTTCCCGGCGAAAGGGCATAAGCCCGCTTACGGCCTTTTGCCGGGCACATGACGACATACGCATGTATTTTTTAGAGTCATACCCGTTTGTTTTTTTTACTATTAAAGTCCTACTTTTTTCGTGACAACTTCTTCAGTTCTTGGAAAGAAAATGGTACATGTATTACTCACATAGACACACTACACCATCATGACCATGTACGTGTAGGCTGCGTACTGTGTGACTGCTCTCGGTTCATTACACTGTGTTAATAAGTTCATTGTGTCCCAGTCCTTTATTTATTTACCCTTACATAACGCATGTACATAATATTGTTTTTCACACATTTGTATTACAAATAATGTTGATAATCACGCATGGGTGTATTGTAGGGACTCATTCATAGTTCTGCTAATTAGCGTCAACAAGGATCTACATATACAGCGTCAACAACATATCAAGAACTTCAGTGCTGTCTATTAAACTTTCCACGGAATCATCATAGGCTTAAGGGTAGATAGCAGACTCTCACATTTACTGTCACAAGTACATGTAGGTCTATATAAGACAATAAGTGAATTGGCATCCAGATTTCTGCTGGAAGGGAATATTTTCATGATGGGTGAAGGCCGCCATCTTTCTTTTCAAGATTGCAGCCAGTTGGGCTGCGCAAACGGCACCGTTGCTTTGATACCTTGTCACAAAAAATGCACACTCAAGATCATTCCAATGTGTTGTATATGATATCCAGGAGCCTGCATGTAATGACGATCACAAATACATCATTTAAACATGAAAATACTTATGTTATTTGCTAAAGCTGTGTTGATGCTAAATAATAGGATCTCTCATCCACCTCCGGTGTGGTATGTCAGTTTATAGTACATATACATATGTACAGTTATGTCATCAGGTCATGCTCAGTTGGATATTGGGTATTCCTTGGCAAAGCCGTGCCTTTAATACACGTGCAGTGGACAACATGTATGTACATGTACATGTACATGTATCATTCAAAATCTTGCGTATCCGTATTTTGAAGGACCTGTGGCCTTGGAGCTGGCCAAATTAAGGTTCAGTGAAAATTCTTTTATCGCCTGCCAGTTAAATCTGCAAATCCACAGCTGTTTTTTTTTGTCATCGTTTTCCTCTGACGTGCTCTACAGGAGGCTAAGCTCAGCGCCAGGCCTGACCAAGATGCGGGAGACGAGGACGATCCGGAGGTGTCCAAGGAGTTCCCTGCCACCAACCTGTATGAGTTGGAGGGGCGCGTCTTCACCGACCAGTGGTCCATACCCTACAAGAAGGAGGAGTCGCTGGGAAAGTGCCTGATTGCCTCCACCAGGTTCGCCAAGGAAAGTAAGTACCGGTTCCCGTGCTCCAAATGTCGGATGGTTTCACAGAACCAACTGAACCATACAGCAAGGAATGGTGTTGTAGGGGGAGCAGATGTCCTTCTCCTTCCCCTCCGCTGGCTGCTACAGGCACTTCTCGGTGCCCGCTCTGAAATTTTCCCCCCAGTCACTCAACTGTTAAAAGACTCATGCAGGCCCCGACCTTAACCCTAACCCCCTAGGCTCCTGCACTAGAAAGCATACTGAACCTCACAAAATGCAACAGGTTCATGTACTTGTCTATGTACTTGTACATGCAGGTTACTGTACCAAACCTGATAAACTCCAACAGAATGTCACCTCTCCTCAGCGCAAACAACTAAATAACATCGAGAATGGGTATATAGACGAGCAAACTAAATATGAAAACAAGCATCGCACATGGTGCGTACATGTATAAGTCTATGCGAACATACCCAGAAACAACAAGATGGCAGCCCCCAAGACATGATATAGAGCATACAAAAAACGACAAAGATGTGGAGATAAGAGTGTTTACAATAAAAATAAGACTTGAATCGAGAACAAACCTCACAGGTGATTTGTATCAGAAGAATCAAGATTTGGAACGGAGGCCGTCAAGCAGAAAGAAGCGGAAGACTATTGAGAGAAATTCTGACATGTTTCGTTAGTAGGATCTTCGCGCTAAAAATCCAGGAGGGCGCTGTAGCGATTTAACAGGCACAACTCGAGAGTGCACTCTTGCGGTCAGCACAGTTGTAGCGCTCGGGACGAAGCCTGCATTTCCACCATTTTATGTTTACCAAAATGCTTTATCTTTTACAATGCAATGATTGAAGTTAAGTTACATGTACCACGTAGCCTTGTAAAGCCCTCCCTGACACACTGACCTCACTGCAAAAAAAAATATCATTTTGTAGAGGTTGCAGACATAAGCCATGAAGCTGTAACCTGATTTGGCAGTTGGAGGTAGGGCTGAGTCAATTCGAACAATTCACTATTCAAATATTCGACTTTAAGTTTGATCAAATATCCAAATATTTGGTCGTACCGACCTGCAGATTGTTGGTGACCAACCCGTACACAAAATCAGTTACAATAGCGCACACAACTTTACATTATGATCAATATAAATAGCTTCTCACATCTAGGAGTATCTCCAGTCACGATTTATCAAGATTTAAGAGATGAACAATACTTCTTGCCCTGTTGTAAATTTCTGTTCCTTTTAAATTGTTTAATGAATAATGTACCGGTGCCTTTGGAATCATTGTAAGATTTCTGTCGCTTTTCATTCAAATCTGCTTGAAACAAGCCTCCATATGCAATTTTCCTCGTTTAAAAGGAAAAGAAAACTTTCCCTCCCTTTTCGTTAATTTTGTAGTCGAATATTTAAATTCGAAAAATAATATTCGAATATTCGATAATCGATTGAATATTCGGTTATTCGGATATTCGGCACAGCCCTAGTTGGAGGGGTGTAAAGTATTCATTATGTGGGATCAGGGTGCTAACAGCATGTACAATGCGGGAGCTGATATGTTTAGCTGAACAGAAGTTTGCCAAGTGTGGCTCTTCCAAAATCAACCCAGTGATCGAATGTTTATTTTTCAAGCTGAATATTCCTACGTTTACATGTAACACAGTGAAATAAGACAGAAAGAAATTCACTCTTTACTTACCAAATCGCCTGGTGATTGTTCTGGAAAGTATGTTAACAAGTTTACTCGTTAAACACAAAGGTACATGTACATTGTACAGACAGTGAGTCCATTTGAACAACTTGTTATCAGGAAAAATATTGTCACCAAAGCAACAGGTGTTTCTCTAATTGTTGTCCCATGCTAATTCTATGGTGAAGGGTAACGCGTTCTGTTGTGCTGGCAAAAGTGATAATTTCAATGATTGTTACGAGTTGGTCTGCGAACTGCTTCTCCCTGGAGGCTGGTTGACCGAGCAATATGGTCAGTGATGTCGATTTTCAGGTGTACATTCGGTCGTTCGATCTGAGTCAGCCCTGGCCAGCAGGTTTATTGACATACATGTATTCAGTGTTTCGGGGCGTTGAAATACCGGCAGAACTTTGTAACCATAGGGGAAACACTGCCATCATAACTGGTCTCTTAACCGTGTTGTGTGTCAAATGTACATGTATAGGTGAAGGTAAGGAAAAGGTACATGTATTTAGGCATTGGTTGCTGAAACAGAGTAGGCCTTACAAATCAAACTTCCTGAAATCCGAATACATGTAATGCGTTAAGATGGTTGTAGTAAGTACAGTTGGATAAATATTGCTATCTCTGTGTAACATACAGGACATATGCAGTGTCAAGCTTCGGACCTTCACTTGTGCATGTTAATTAACCCTAACATTCCCGAATGCTACAAAGTACTACTTAGTAGTAAAATGTAGTACCCGGCCCTGTCGCTTGTAAGAGGACATGACATTATTATTCTCTGAAGCCATAAAACAAAATAGAGAAGAAATGTACCATACAGTGCTGTGGCACTATGAATGCATGGTTTCATTGTTCTCTGTACGAGTAACAACGGAATAAACCTAGCCAGGAGTAGTAATCTGTAGCGCTAGGTCCTTCAGGCTCAGAGTGTTACTTACTATTTTGTAGTACTGAGTACTCTTAAGCCATACAATGCCCGGTACTGTTAGGGTTAAGTAAAGGTCTTTAATATCTGTTTGCTGAAATATTAAAAGTAAAAGAGAAACTCATCATGTCTCAGGTCTTGATGTACCGGGCACATGTGTCCCTTGAAGAATCAGTTATCAGACTACTGGCATGTTGCAGGTTTATGTCAGGATGATAATGCTAAACTGACGTTGGGCGTGATACGGTAGAAGAAGGAACAGCAATTTTTTTTTTGGTCAAAACAGTTGTGAATTGCTCTGCAAAGTGATTAGAGAGGGGGGCAGATTGTCCATTTACAAGTCAGATAATCTGTGGGGTGGAATAGGCTTTGTCACTCATAATTTGCATTGTCATATTTTTCATTCTCCGTTTGTTTTTTCAAATATGCACATATCTGAATGTGCAACAAACTGCTCAGTAACTGCAGTGACGTGAAATACACACAGAGCGCGAAGAGCCACGTGATCAGTTCCCCCCCCCGCACCTCAATTCCTAATCTGTAAATTCTCTTTAAAAGAGACGTGCGTGCATCATGTGCAACATGGATTTTTTCCCCCCTGTGTCACCCACACTCTTTTGTGCCAGTGGACCACACACCCTTAAATCATGTCTATTTAAATTGTAAATGTGCTTCTTCACAGGGACTGAAAAGCAGAGTACCAGTTGGTCACACACCACTTACGTTATCAAGTTGTATGACTCAGAGTAACTAGTAATGTCCACCACAATCTTCATTCAACCTTATGGACAACTTCACCCTCAAACCGGGCAAAGTTTACTTGTAGTTATCATCGGCTTCAATCTCTGCAAACGATACAAAGTCCAAGAAAAGTATAGTGGATCATGGTTTTGGTAGGCCTATACTGTACATGTACAGTGTACATGTCGGTACATGCATGTATGTACACGTTTGGTTTCAGTATTGTGTGGGGATGCATGTTCATATTTTGTAAGTGTGTGTTTACTGAAGGGTACATAATTGGAGACAGGAAACTTTCCATTTTACACCAGTTCATCCCGACTCCACCTGTGTGTTTTTCTGGAATCCACAGGTGGGGCTCAGTCTGTCTTTGTGCCCAAAACTTTTGGCGGGCATCAAGTCCCATGTGCAGTAATAGTGGCTCGGATCGTTACATGTAAATGTACCTTAGCAAGGTTTGCAGATTTCTCCCCAAAAACTTCCTGGTTGATTGAGAAGAACCCAGGATGATTACAATGAAGATATTTTCACCACATCGAAGATCAGCACCATGATATACCAATCAATTTTCACGAGTATGTTTATTTTGCTTGTCTCTGGTGTGAAACTATACATCCTCTGAACGTGTCTTTTCCGCTCTCCATTTTGGCACCTCGTTTAAATGTTATGTTTCACATGGTACTCATTTGGAAGAACTTTATCGAAACCTCTTTGAAACCAAGCAATTACATGTATATACGAAAAAATGGAATTCCCCAGAATTTTCCACAACATACATGTACATGTAGCAATGTGCATTCTGTTTGCACGGGTATAGTCTGGATATACTGAACTGGATATAGTCAAGACTTTCAGACTGGCTACTGTCTAATTCCAGTGGACCAATCTGCAGCATTGGACACAGGAACCATACCAGCCTAATATAGACAAGTGGGCCTTAAACTTTATTTCCCACATTAAAAAAACTTCTGGGAGTAAGAATCTGCCTCCTAAAAAGAAACAAAAAACACTCGTGGAAAGTGAACACAGAATTTTTTTGGAAAAAAATGAAACAAAAAAATGACAAGAGTGACACTGTAGCACCGTTCCAAATTTGAGGTACATGTACGCACCGGTATCCCTGGTGCAGTCTTTTTGTTATTTTCCATCTGCCATTTTGTTGCCCCTTGTATGAACAAAAATGTTCCAGTACTGAAAACTTCATAACCTCAGACAATGCTTGCTACCAACAGTGAAAACGTACCATGTGTTTTTCATATTTTTGCACTTGGCTTTAAAAGAACAAATAGGTTTACTTTCCTTAAATCCGTCAGCTGCTAACCTACCGGTACATTGTGCTGACTTTTAACCCTTCGTTTTTTTCTTTGACTCTAGAAGCCTGTTTTAGGGTCAACTGTTTAAATTAACCCTAACCGCCAAGCATATTGTTTGGCTTACACTACACAGTGCTACAAAATACTAAGTAGTAGTCTGAGCCTGAAGGACCTAGCGCTACAAATTACTACTTCTGGCTAGGTTACTTCCATTGTTACTCGTACAGAGAAAAATTAAAACCATGCATTCATTGTGCCACAGCACTTTATGGTACATTGTCTTACTTATTGTATCTTATGGCTTCACAGAACAATAAAGTCATGTCCTCTTACAAGCGACAGCACTTATTACTACATTTTACTACAAGTAGTAATTTGTAGTATTATGTAGGGTTAGGGATAATGTTAAGCTTCACATTTCCACCCAACTGGGTTGATGTACGCTTGGTTGGATGTTTTTTATGTTTTACTTCTTTGTTTGAAAGCGCGGGTTTTTTTTTCAGACATTTTTTAGAACAAGTCTACTGTGTCATTTACATGTACATGCACTTGCAACTGTCAACTGTAAAGCTATGTTGATTCGGTATTCCACAATACATTCATGTACATGTATATAGCCACACAGGTATGTTCACAGACAATTCCCACACATTGCATGTCTTTGCAATAGTACCACATCCACCCTCGAGACTATCTTTCTACTTCGATGCAGCATACAAGCAGGTGTTCCCATCAAACTGACCGTACATCGTAAAACAATAAAACTACTTGGTGGTATTTTAAATTGAATACGTATAGCTTTCATGTTTTTTTTCCCTCCTTGGATATGTCACTGTGTATCAGCCTTTTGCCCTTGCTGTTTCGCATCAGATGTGAAGACACAGAATAAAATGAAATAAATTAATTAACCACCCTATCAATTTTTTTGTTAAAGTCAGTGATGTAAACCTCAGGATTAGTTTGAAAGGATCATAGTTGTTTGCCCTGAATTTCCTCAGAATTTGGGGGAAGTTGATGTACATTCTGGTGTACACTTTGAGGGGACTTAATGTGTACTGCGTTTCAAAATATTTATGCATGCTTTCTCTATTTGTTTTATAAGTACAGCTGTTTTTCTTGGCTAGCACTGAGCCCAGACAGTTTGAGTGTTATTTTGGTCAAATGCAGGGCATCAACAGGTTTTTTTCTTCACTCTGTCGCGTGAAATTTGATGACTTTCCCGCATGCTTGTGTGTGTCTACCCAATTGCTGGTCAGACTTGCATTGCTTGACATTGTTCATTACTGATCATTACAGTTCATTACTGATGTACAGAACAGGAACGTGACAGAGTATTATCCCGGCTTGCAAGCTCGTATTTTAAAAGAAAACATCCTCTACGTGTTTGTGAAGACCCCAAACGTGGTGTGTCTTGAAACGCAGTCACGTTATCATTTAAGCCCAAGTTGAACTGATCGTGAAGTTCCGACAAAGTCCAATAATCCCTGTTCTCCAATTTTTGAGTCTGGTGAAGAGTTTACAAGTTTCGTTGGACACATTTTTCCCAGATTCCCCCGAAAGATTGGCAAGACGTGCCAAAAAAAAAGAGCCTATTTTTGACAAAGTTTACATTGAGGATCAGACTGAAGATAATTTTGGTTAATTATATTAAGACCCGAGAATGGAAATCACAGAGTGGAGGTTTTAATGGCATTTGTGAAAAGTGCACCATTTCTGCCCGATATTGTGCCCCAAACATGAACATGTTTGTGGCCTTTTTGGCTTCCAGATGGAGTTTGCATGCAAGGCGCTGACAGTTTTACTTTGTTTTAATGCAAAAGGACGAATGTTTCCGTGAACTGTTTTGAAACCCATTGACAACGAGGCTGAGCAATACTGTTTTTTTCAGGAAACTTTGAAGTCCTCCCCCCCAAAAAAAACCAAGTCAAATTGCGTAATCAATGGGGATTCCCTAATTCACATGTACAAAACAAGTATTTCCCAGAGTCTCACACCTTTTGTGTATACATGAAAACACTGGCAGAATCCCGTCTTCCCATACACTGGCTCCAACGTATTCAAAGTACCGGTAGAAATTGTACAATTCCATGCAACTTTCATTGGTGACCTTGATGCATCACATGCAGCTCTATGCATGTTGTGGCCTTAGGGGAAAAGGAACAAATGTTTAGCATGCTCATTAATGTACATGTAAGCCATGTTATGCAGACAGTGTACATGTACATGCATGTACATGCACCTATGCACCGAATATTTAGAATTGAGTGACCTGCTGAGTGAATGGGTTCAAATCGTTAACCCAAAAAGCATCTTGTGCATTATTGTCCTGTATGTTTTCATTTTTATTATCTCAATTTTGCAACTGAACTTGCGCTGTCATAAACGTGCATATGTGCATTCGTGCCTCTGGTTTAAAAACGTCCAAGTGGCATTGGATTATTGACAAACATATGCAGTACATGTATGGGCATGTTCCCTCCCCCCAGCAAAATGGAAACTTCAAGCCTGGATTGTAGTAAGCGGTACACTTTCTGAATACCGTTGATGGACATGTATGGATGTGTTGCCAATATGTTCATGTAATGTACTCATTTGGCAAGTGTGTAATTGTAGATGGGCGAGGGCTTTATCTGCTGGCTCATGCACGGTACATGCATACTGTACAAGGAGATGGATTTGTAGCCATTGGCAGAAAATGGAATTTGAAACCTTAAATTGGAGAGCAAAAGGGGGCAGGGAGGATTTCATGCAACTTTTTGTCATGTGTTTCTTTATGATTTCCAGTCTGCTATGAGCCTGTATGAACTGGTCATGTGACTTCTTGGTCCCATTTTGGCACCCATCTCTATTGTTGTCCAAAATCACTTATTCCCCCCTATACCGGTAGCTGCATGGCAGAAAATACAGCCTGACAAAAGTATGTGTTAAGCAAAGCAACGTGGA